CTTGGTTTTGGATCTAGTTTTTTAAATAAAATCTCTGTTAAGTTTGTTTTTGTGCCTTGCTTACCACCTGGATTGTTAGCTGATTGTTGCCATCTGGCCCTCCGGTAAATGCACTCCTGGGCTTCCCTTGTTCAGGGGAGGCTCCTTGTCATCCCCTTCCACCAGCATTGTTGTCTGTGTTTTGCTCTACCAGGCTGAGCTGTGCTTTTATTTTCACTGGATTTCTTATAAATCAGCATCTACTTTAAATAAACTTTCCTTGAGATCCATCTGCTCGTCTCCAGAATGCTCCCTGATTGTGGGAATTCATTGAACAACTTTTCACAAGTTTATGAAAATTTAAATGTGAGACATACTGAATAGAGTCCCACAGTGTTGACACAATGAGACTAGATTGAAGCAAGACTAAGAGATGTTTGTTCACATTGACTGAACATTGTAAAATAGGAAGAAAACACACTGAGTTGCTCAGCTGATTAATCAGGATGACATTGCCATTTTCAGTTAACCTATAGACTTAGTATGGAACAAACCTATGAGCACTTTGAGATGACTTCTGTGATGAAAAGTGCATTATAAATAAAATGTATTATTATTATAATTATTATTATTATCTGTGGAAAGAACAGTGTTGTTATAAATGGTAGTACAGTGTTGTATCAATCAAACTGCTCCTTCCACAATAGATGGGTTAATTGGCAACTGTAAATTAGCCCTATGTGTAATTGTGCATGGTCTCTATGGCAACCTGTCCAGGATATACCCCACCTCTCACCTGTTGACCTCTAGAAATAGGAAACAGAAGCCTCAATCAAGAACAATATTGATTTGGTGGAATGAAAGGGGATTACAACGTGCAAGGATAATAAAGTATCAAACCAACATAATCTGCTTGATTTGTTTGCCATCAGTTGTCCTGATTTTTAAAGATGAAGCCATAGCTATACTTCAATTGACCTTTACTGTAAAACACATTTACCATCAAAAAATCACAATGCCAGCCCCCATGTCAGTCCCTACTTGTTCTTACATCCATCTCTAAAAGAGTCTGTGAGCCTGAGCCGTTCAACTCAGCGTGCTAAGGTTCATGTCCTATCCCGTGTTGAAGGTCCAGACCCTCAGGCAGTCCATTATCAGTAGACCTTTGCAAGCTGCCAAGGTTAGAGCACATAGAGCCAACAGACCACTGCGCCCGCTGTCACCCTGTCTAGTCTAGAGCATGAACAGACACACACAAGCTCAATGGATCAGCAGAGTTGTGTCAATATTACCTTATGCAGAGTGGCTCCACATTTATCTGGTTGCTTAATAGTGGAAAAAAACAAAATCCTATCAGCAGCTTTGTGCACTTCTAGTAATCTCATTGCAGGATTTATCTGTATATTTAACTGTTTAATAAAGTAAGAGATTTTAAGTATTTAAACCTCCAGAAAAGCATGCATACCATCATGAGAACAATGAAACGTTATGACGCATGTTCTAATTCACTCTAATACTAAGGAAAATTTCCATGGAGTTTTAGAGAATCACTTTACAGAATTTAAAAAGCAGCAAGATTGTGGAGAAAATGCGGTCAGCATAAATAAAATGACTAAATGTGACATTCAAAAAAAGCGTCACTCTGGACACTTTTTTTAATGGATGCATAGATAAACCAGCAGTGTTGGGCAAGTTACTTCAAAACTGTAATACATTATTTATTACTTGTTACCCTCATTTTAAAGTAATTCATTACATTACAATATTACTGATTTTAAAATGTAAGGCATTACACTACTTTTGCATTACTCTAAGTTACTTTAAACAAAACAACTTCAGTATGAGTTTGGTAATCTGATGCCCGTTGAACTCCTGACACATCCGATGGAAAGTGATGTGGTGTCTGAGCTAGGATTGCTGTTAAAAACAGTCAGATATAATAACAGTGCTTTAAAATGATTGTTTATCAAATAAAAGCAACAACAATCTGTACTTTCAGCACGCTGCCATCTTAGATTAACTGAGCAGGGAGTGAGGTGGTGGGGGCTCCAAGTCTATTTAGCCTTGGTCCCCAAATGCCTTGATACGGCCCTGGATGTGGGACTGACTTCTGGGGTGATCTGATTCCATCACATGTATAAATATTAAATGCTTATATATTATTGCTTTTCACCGGTAAAAATGTGTATTGGGGATAAATCTACCTACTTTTTTTCTTTTCAAGCCCTTTGTTTTGTTTTCTTGATTTTATTTGAATTATTTCCTGCCCTTTCTCTCTCTAAACTCCCTGCATGCTGCATGTTTTCTCCGTCTTCCAAAAAAACCTGTTTCCTAGACTTCCTACTTTCTAACTATCAGCCAAAGGGATCTTCACATGTGCGGCGCTCCAGCAGCAATGAGTTAAAATCACCGGAGCCCAGATTAACTCAGCTGAGGCAAAGCACGTCAGAAAAGTACAGAATACCAGAGAATATGCGCTGATATGAACGATCTCAGGTGAATTATTTTGTTTTAGTGGAGCGATTTTGTGAATGTTACAGTGGCCGCGTGGAGGACGCAGCTGGATTATTTGAGCCGTTACCGAAGCATCCTCTCTGCCTGCAAAGCGGAGTCCATAAATGACGTCATATATGCAGATACTGGATCTTTTTTCGGGTTTCCCACAATTTGAATTTTTAAGAAACGCATCTTGATTCTGGGTTTGAAATGCAATGTAATTACTGCGTTACTGACAATTGTACCGAGTAAATATTACCATTTTCTTTCCCTGTAATGCCTTGCATTACTACATTACAGCAAAAAGCAATGCATTACAGTAATTAATTACTTCTGTACCGCATTACTCCCAACACTGTAAACCAGGTAGTCATGTCGTGTTTCTTTCATCTTCGCCTGCTGGCCAAACTAAAATCTGTCCTGAACAAAAAAGATCTTCAGTCAGTTGTTCATGCTTTTGTAACGTCACGTCTGGAATATGCCAACTCTCTTTTATATGGTATTCCCTCCTCTTCAATGGTACGCCTCCAGTTGGTACAGAATGCTGCCGCAAGGTTTCTTACGGGCATAGACCAACGGCAGCATATCACCCCTGTTGTGACAAATTTACACTGGCTTCCAGTTCGGTTTCAAATTAAATTTAAAATTCTCCTGTTGGTTTACAAATCTATTCATGAAATGGCCCCCTCTTATTTGGCATATCTTTTAAGCTCCTATGTTCCAGCGCGAACCCTGAGGTCCTCTGACCAGCTCCTTCTGCTTGTCCCTCCTGCCCGCTATATGGCCCGTGGTGGACGGGCTTTTTCAGTTTGTGCGCCTAAACTTTGGAAACAACTCCCCCTGACGGTCTGACTTGCCCCCTCCCTTCCCATTTTTAAAGTGCGTTTAAAGACATATTTCTATTCCCTGGCCTTCCCGGCTGAGACTGTTTAACTCTTGTGCTTTCCTGTTTGTTTGTTATTATAGTTTTTGTTTTATCTATTTTATGCTGCTGTTTGGTGATGTATTGTCTTGTACAGCACTTAGGTTGGCATTGTTGTCGTTTAAATGAAGGTTGATGATGATGATGATTTGTTTACATAGGTTAAACGTAGAGGTTTTGCTTTCCTTAATATGGACTCTGACCTACTTAAGTATGAACTAAGCCAATAAGTACAAGCACCATGAGCATTGTTATGGTAAGGTCTACAGTAGTGTGCATTAATTTACACAAACAGAGAGTAAATGAATTAAATGTAATAAAATAATAATAAAAAAATGTTTCGAATATGCTTTGAGCAACAATTACAAACTGTTTCCAATATGAAGTATTCATCTTGTTTTCCAAAAACTTCATTGCACAATCTGAGTATCCCACCCCACCCTGTTTAATTTAACTACAAAAGGCCCCTTGTTTTAGGGGGGATTGCAGGCTGAATGGCACCATGCTACGTTATCATGATATTCCTCGACAATGCAGCTAAATGGGCTCATTCAACCCAGATGACCTTATACAATTCCCAAAGAGTTTGCCAGTAGCTGCTCTACAGCTCAAAACATAGGCTCATTAAAAAACTAATTTGAAAAGCGGTTGAGATCTACAGAACCTTCTACTTTTAGTACAGCACCTTTGACATGAAAAAAGTGGTTGACGATTCCGTACTAAGTCTATATTGATGAGACAAAAAGTAGGCTATTTCCAATACTGAATACAGTGACACCATTGTACTCAGTTGTAGCGTGGCAAGTACGTTAGAGATGTTGAAAAGAGTTTTTTTCTAACAGATAAAAACATTCCAGAGAATTTTGTTTCAATCAGATCATCCAAAATCGTTGAAAGAATTACTAATGTTGTAATATGGTTTAGTAATAATGGTTTCATTTTCAATAAAAACTTGTATGATTAATGAAGCACAAAACATTTATCGTGTTTAGATTTAGTCAGTTTTCAGCATGATCTGCTTGATGATCATCCACTATACAACTCAAAATAAGATTTTTTTTAAACTCATTGTTGCTAAGTGCTAATGCACGGTAGCAATGACAAAAGTTTCATGTGGAAGTTTGTACTCATACTTAGAGCTTTCTAGTAAATCAAAAAAATATAAAAATTATTTCTGTTGATTATAGTTCTTCATTTCAGAGCTGTACAAGAATCAGAAATCTGTATTAGTCCCAAATCAAACAATAGTTGATGTGATATTTTAACACATTCCTTTATAATAAAAATTTTACTATAATAACTCTGTAATTGGCTCTCTGTCCAGGGTGTACCCCGCCTGATTGCCCATTGACTGCTGGAAATTGGCACCAACACCCCCCACCCCCTCCCACCACACACACACACACACACACACACACACACACACACACACACACACACACACACCCAGCCCCCCTCGCGACCCTACGTGGACAAAGCGGGTTCAGATAATGAATGGATGGATGGAACACTGTAATTGAAAAATGTTTACATGGAACACTCAAGGGATGTTATAACATTGGGTTTAAAGGACTGTTGTACTGTAGTGGCTCTGCTCTCATACCTGTTTGAAAAGGAACTTGTCCTCTTGGTTGAGCTGCCAGGCGGTGGCAATGTGAATGGAGGATAGTACAGCTCCACTAAGCACAGCGGATCTCATTCTGACTGGCAGCAGAGTGTAGATAATATAGATGAAAAAGACTGTCCACCATACACCCTCTGAGGCACTGCGGGGGAAGACCATCAGTACCCCAAAAACCTGCAATACGACCAGAACCCCAATCACCAGGTAGCTCACAATCCACATGTAGTCCTGGTGGAAGCTGGTCCTGTTGCACACAAACATCATGGTCATAAAGATTGCCATGGCCACCGAGAGTACCGAGATGTATGGCACATTACGGGTTGTGAGGGCACAATGGAAGGCGAGCATGACTCCACACACCACCATCAGCATCCCCATCAGCATCGTCAGAGAGCTCTGGTTGAGTCTGAAGAAATAGCGCTGGTACAAACGTTCCAACTTTGCGGATTGAAATTTTTTGGATTGGAAAACCCACAAAAGCCACACCCAGCAGTCTGCAACAGTCATTCTCTTGCAGTTGCCCTCTGCTAATTCTCCTGATGCATCTTTTAGCTTGTCCTTCAGTTCACCATCCTCCAATCCCAGGTCTCCAGATTTTAGACCCAGATCCCCAGCAACTACTGTGTTTTTCAGATAATGGTCCTCTTGCCAACCACGGCGCAGGCCAAAGTTGCCCCCACTGGCATCTGCTTTACAGTAGTAATGCTGGGGGACCACATTAGGGATCTCAGAATCCTCTTGGCCCCTCAGGCAGCTCATGTAATGTGGGTTGCATAGTGACGAGCTGTCCTTCCTCTTTTTGCCATTGCGTTCTCCCCATGCTGTCTTTTGCTCATCCTCTCTGCCTACAAAGAGGCTCCTGGCCCACGACATCCTAGAAAAATAGAAAATGAAAACAAATAAAAGTAAATAAACATGAAGAGATTGGAATCGGAACTTTCAGTCTATCACGCATATATCTGAGTGAGATGTGACAGTCCTCTCACCTGTGTGGGCTTTACCGTGTGTAGAAACACTTTGCTCTTTGGCCAGGCCACTGGTTTATCCCAGCAAACCAACAACATGAGCACAGTCTGGCCACAAGCATCAGAAGTGTGTCTGTGTTTGAGTTGCTCTAAGGGTTTCTTCTGTATCACCACCTCATATTCTTATAAATCACCGTTTTGCCTAAAAATGTAAACACACAAAAAAGAAATTATGTTGAGCAAAACAGTCCTGTGGATCATGATATTAAAACATCAACATAATCAGCATAAAGTTACTGAGACAATATATTTATGAGTGAATAAATGTCAAGTAAATTACTTGTTTATTCTAATATCCCCCATTATCAACAGTAATGCATTTCTAGGAAAACATTTGACAAAAAATTTTCACTGATTCAAAATTGCTCTTCCAACAAATTCCACTGGTCTATTTGTAATAATAAACACAGCTCTATAATTCTCCAATAATTTGTATTATATTTTTTTATTTATTACATTTAGCAGATTTTAGATCACAGTTCTAGACAGAAACAGAGTTTGGCCTCATTCTATCTTTGCAATCTGGCTTTAACATCTTGAGTGGCTTGATTTGTCAACAAAGAGCCACAGATTGGGCACAGTGAAAGATCAAACTCTCTCCAGTCCAGATTCAATTGCCCATGCTTCCCACATTAGCTTTGATGAGTCACATTGGCTGCATGTGTCAAGGACACTGCTTACCTCTAGACTTAATAAGCAAATCTGTGCCAGGCTGAATCAGCTGAGAATAAAGGTGAGAAGAGCAGATGTAAAATGCAGCAGCTTGTAATGAGATGCTAAATCACAATAATAAAAAGCTGACCCAATAAATAATTAAATTTAAAAAAGTTGCATAAACATAAAGTGGGTTTGTCAATAACTTTAACCCTTCAAACCTATAGACCTGATATACAGCTGGAGGATATGGCAAATTTATCAAGATTTCTTACAGAGAAAATCATGATTTTATTATCATTAGGTAAATGTATTATTATTTTTCTAGTTAATTAACAATGCAATTCTTTTTAGAAACAGTTGTTAAGGTAAAATATAACAGAACACAGGCCAAGTAAGATTTCAGAATGGAATCATTTTAAACATTTGCAGCCATCATACCCATAGAAATGACTTGGTGCAATTTAATATAACACACAGCAAACATCATATTTATTTACCTGCTTAAGGTAATACAGGTGCTGGCCAGTAAATTAGAATATCATCAAAAGGTTGAAAATATTTCAGTAATTCCATTCAAAACGTGAAACTTGTACATTATATTCATGCAATGCACACAGACCAATGTATTTCCAATGTTCATTACATTTAAATTTGATATTCATAAGTGACAACTAATGAAAACTCCAAATTTGGTATCTCAAAAAATTAGAATATTCTGAAAAGGCTGAATATAGAAGACACCTGCTGCCACTCTAATCAGCTGATTTACTCAAAACACCTGCAAAGGCCTTTAAAAGGTCCCTCAGTCTTGTTTTGAAGGCACCACAATCATGGGGAAGACTTCTGACTTAACAGCTGTCCAAAAGACAATCATTGACACCTTGCACAAGGAGGGCAAGACACAAAAGGTGATTGCTAAAGAAGCTGGCTGTTCGCAGAGCTCTGTGTCCAAGCACATTAACAGACAGGCGAAGGGACGGAAAAAATGTGGTAGAAAAAAGTGTACAAGCTCTAGGGATAACCGCACCCTGCAGAGAATTGTGACGACAAACCCATTCAAAAATGTGGGGGAGATCCACAAAGAGTGGACTGCAGCTGGAGTCAGCGCTTCAAGAACCACCACGAGGAGACTCATGAAAGACATGGGATTCAGGTGTCGCATTCCGTGTGTCAAGCCACTCTTGAACAAGAAACAGCGCAAGAAGCGTCTCGCCTGGGCCAAGGACAAAAAGGACTGGACTGATGCTGAGTGGTCCAAAGTTATGTTTTCTGATGAAAGCAAGTTCTGCATTTCCTTTGGAAATCAAGGACCCAGAGTCTGGAGGAAGAGCGGAGAAGCACAGAATCCACGTTGCATGAGGTCCAGTGTAAAGTTTCCACCGTCAGTGATGGTGTGGGGTGCCATGTCATCTGCCGGTGTTGGCCCACTCTGTTTCCTGAGGTCCAGGGTCAATGCAGCCGTCTACCAGGAAGTTTTAGAGCACTTCATGCTTCCTGCTGCTGACCAACTTTATGGGGATGCAGACTTCACCTTTCAACAGGACTTGGCACCTGCACACAGTGCCAAAACCACCAGCACCTGGTTCAAGGACCATGGTATCCCTGTCCTTGATTGGCCAGCAAACTCGCCTGACCTTAACCCCATAGAAAATCTATGGGGTATTGTGAAGCGGAGGATGCAATACGCTAGACCCAACAATGCAGAGGAGCTGAAGACGACTATCAGAGCAACCTGGGCTCTCATAACACCTGAGCAGTGCCACAGACTGATCGAGTCCATGCCACGCCGCATTACTGCAGTTATTGAGGCAAAAGGAGCCCCGACTAAGTATTGAGTGCTATACATGCACATTCTTTTCATGTTCATTCTTTTCAGTTGGCCAACATTAGAGAAACAAACATTTTTTCATTGGCCTTTAGAATATTCTAATTTTCTGAGATACCAGATTTGATGTTTTCATTGGTTGTCACCTATAAATATCAAATTTAAATGTAATGAACATTGGAAATACATTGGTCTGTGTGCATTGCATGAATATAATGTACAAGTTTCACGTTTTGAATGGAATTACTGAAATATTTTCAACCTTTTGATGATATTCTAATTTACTGGCCAGCACCTGTAGGCACTAGGAACACTATTATACAGGTCCTTCTAAAAAAATAGCATATTATGATAAAGTTCATTGTTGTCTGTACAGTACCGATAAACATTAGTCTTTCATATATATTAGATATATTCATTACACACAACTGAAGTAGTTCAAGCCTTTTATTGTTTCTAATATTGATGATTTTGGCATACAGCTCATGAAAACCCAAAATTCCTATCTCAAAAAATTAGCATATCATGAAAAGGTTCTCTAAACGAGCTATTAACCTAATCATCTGAATCGACCAATTAACTCTAAACACCTGCAAAAGATTCCTGAGGCTTTTAAAAACTCCCAGCCATGTTCATTACTCAGAACTGCAATCATGGGTAAGACTGCCGACCTGACTGCTGTCCAGAAGGCCATCACTGACACCCTCAAGCAAGAGGGTAAGACACAGAAAGAAATTTCTGAACGAATAGGCTGTTCCCATAGTGCTGTATCAAGGAACCTCAGTGGGAAATCTGTGGGAAGGAACAAGTGTGGCAGAAAACGCTGCACAAAGAGAAGAGGTGGCCGGACCCTGAGGAAGATTGTGGAGGGAGAACGACCGATTCCAGACCTTGGGGGAACCTGCGGAAGTAGTGGACTGAGTCTGAAGTAGAAACATCCAGAGCCACCGTGTACAGGTGTGTGCAGGAAATGGGCTACAGGTGCAGCATTCCTCAGGTCAAGCCACTTTTGAACCAGAAACAGCGGCAGAAGTGCCTGACCTGGGCTTCAGAGAAGCAGCACTGGACTGTTGCTCAGTGGTCCAAAGCAAAATTTTCATGTCATTCGGAAATCAAGGTGCCAGAGTCTGGAGGAAGCCTGGGCAGAGGGAAATGCCAAAATGCCTGAAGTCCAGTGTCAAGTAGCCACAGTCAGTGATGGTCTGGGGTGCCATGTCAGCTGCTGGTGTTGGTCCATTGTGTTTTATCAAGGGCAGGGTCAATGCAGCTAGCTATCAGGAGATTTTGGAGCACTTCATGCTTCCATCTGCTGAAAAGCTTCATGGAGATGAAGATTTCATTTTTCAGCATGACCTGGCACCTGCTCACAGTGCCAAAAGCACTGGTAAATGGTTTACTGACCATGGTATTACTGTGCTCAATTGGCCTGCCAACTCTCCTGACCTGAACTACATCGGGGGGTACTGTCATGTTCTGTGTCCTTGTGGTCCCCAGCCCCCTCCAGGTTCTCCTCCAGGTGCCCCTCGTCTGTCCCTTTGGTCCCCAGCCCCCTCCTGTTCTCCCTCCAGGTGTCCCCTCAGGTTCTATATCCCTTTGGTCCCCAGCCCCCTCCTGTTCTCCCTCCAGGTGTCCCCTCAGGTCCTGTGCTCCTTGTCGTCCCCAGCCCCTTCCAGGTTTCCCTCATGTGTCTCCCTAGTCACTTTATACTTAGTTATCCCATCCAATTTAGGCCTAGTCCACACGTAGCCGGTTTAAAAAAAAAACCGAATATCCGCCCCTCCAAAAACTTGCATCCACACCACCTCGTTTTAAAAAATACTCTGTCCACACATACCCAGATAAATACGTTGTAAGGACATGCCAGGCCTGTAGGTGGTAGTAATTCCCCCGTTCTTAACCTCGTCCTTCATCTGTAGTCTTCCGCAAGGAGCAGTAATTCCGCTTGCAAAAACAAACAAGCAAAAAGCGCTTGGACAACTGATAAAGCGAGCGCAGCTCTGAGGGCATCCATGCCGTTGGCTAGTGTAAACACAGGTCGCACATGTGATGTCAGCATTTTTTGTCGCGGAAAGTGACGTTTCGGGCCTTAAAACTCCGGTTTTGTCTGTCCACATGCAGACACCCAAAACGGAGAAAACGCAGATCTTCACTTTGGCCAGAGTTTTAAAAAAGATCAGTTTTCGTGTGAAAAAACTCAATTTTCGTGTGGATGACAGGCCAAAACGTAGAAAAATATGTACGTTTTGGCAGATCCCCGGCTACGTGTGGACAGGGCCTCAGTCTAGTCTCCCCATAGATCCCCTCTCTTTTGGTCCCTGTCTCTTTAGTGCTCCAAGCTGAAGATTTAGTGGGGGGTTTTTTCTTCTGGTGTCTAGTTTCAGGTTTATTAGTTCTCTTATCTTTTGTTCTCTGTATAGTTATATTATCCAGTCAGTCTTTTCCTTTAACAACATGTTCCTTCCCCATTTAGTTAATTAGTCTCTCCTGATCCCTTCAGCTCACACTCCCCACACACCTGCTACCTGTTTCCCTGATTGCTTCCCTCTGTGTATATAACCCTATCTGTGTCTCTCAGTATTGTCGGTCCATTGTATGCATCAGCGTTTTTCTGTCCCTCTCAAGTTTCTCCAAGTTCATGCTCATGAGTGAGTTTTGTTTTTGATCGTTCAGTGTGTTTTGAGATTAAGTCTGGTTTTTGTGCCTTTGGACTTCTGGCGCATCCTCCTTTAAATAAAGGAATTGTTTTCTTAAATAACTCCTGCCTCGAGTCGTTCTGGGGATTCTGCATCTTGGGTCCAAACATCTTGCTCTCAGTGTGACAGCTGTATGCAAAAATCATCAATATTGGAAACCATAAAAGGCTTGAACCACTTCAGTTGTGTGTAATGAATCTAATATATATGAAAGTCTAATGCTTATCAGTGCATTACAGACAATAATGAACTTTATCACAATATGCTAATTTTTTGAGAAGGACCTGTATTGTTTACATATGTCTAAGAAGGGGAGGGGTATCCAAGACATTCTGTTTCCATGAATTAATTCCCAGACCACAATAATGTTAATGGAAAATCATCCTCTCTGGCTCGATGGCAACTTTTATTTCCCTGCATAAATAAGCTAACTCAGTGTTTGACACACCTTTAATTCATTTAGGACAAGTCAGCCGGTTCTTACGTAATGTAATTTGTAGCCTACATGCAGGCATCTGCTATACATCATGAATGGAGTCTGGATCACATGAGTCATCCAGCATCCATTACAAATTAGGATGTTCATGCTGGTATTTTGGGAAAAAATATAACAAAGGGTTATTGTTTATGTATAACAATAAAACCAGTTTAACATAGAACATTAGTTCTGCTGCCATCATGGCTGAGCCTGATGTTAGAAATAGTGATGTGTCGGTCGCGAAGGAACCGGCTCTAAGAGCCGGCTCTATGAAGTGAACGACGGGAGCCAGCTCGTCATTGGGGCAGCAGTAGCTCAGATGGTAGAGCGGATTGCCTCATGATCGGAGGGTCATGGGATTGATTCCAGCTCCCGCCAGGGGCATCCTGCTGTTGTGTCCTTGGGCAAGACACTTCACCCAACTTGCCTGTGTTAGTGGTGGTCAGAGGGGCCGACGGCACCAAATGACAGTCTCGCCTCTGTCAGGCCTCCCCAGGGCGGCTGTGGCTACAAGTAGCTTACCATCACTAGCAGTGTGTGAATGTGAGAGTGTGTGAAAGCGTCTTTGGGTGTCTAGAAAAGCGCTATATAAGTTCAATGCATTATTATTATTATTATTATTATTATTATTATTATTATTATTATTATTATTATTATTATTATAAAGCAGTAGGGGCGGGGAAGAGGGGGAATCAGACTCAAGACGGACACACAGCAGAGCACATGCGGGCGGAGGGAGACGAGAGTGAATGAGGGAAAAGACGAGCGAGAGAGAGAGGAGAGTGTGACTTAGATGGTGAGAAAATGAACAACAGTAGTCGGAAAGTTAACTATTCTTAAAGTGTTCAGTTAATAAATCCATATAAAGGATAAATATTTGATATATTGCATATTTTTACATTAGTAAATCATTTTACATATAGTTTTGCATTATTTTTGGTGATAAACATACTTTACGCAACAGAAAATCTGAGGAGCCACTTGGGAGCCGAATGAAATGACTCTCTAAAAAGAGCCGGAATTCCCATCACTAGTTAGAAAACATGTTTTGCAGAAACACGTGTAGGCCCTGTCGGTCTGGTTGCGGGCAGGCGGCCGAAGCGCATTACATAACCGGACGCACCAGTAGCCTGCAGGGAAAGTCGATGGCTCACTCTGTGCTCACAAGAGACTCCTAAAGTTGTATGTGGGATACAAAAAAATGAAGGACCAGCTCATCTGAGAAGTATTTTGGTGCTAAACTGAGAGCTGCTCCAAACACATCAATGCCTTGACCAATTTATAAAGAGTAAATGAAATGGACAACTTCAATAAACAATCGTGTAAGGACTACAAGGAGAACGTAGGTTACACGGCCTCCTGCGACACAAACCCCACGTTTGGGTAATAAAACTATTACTAGACGAGGACAGCATAATAAAAGCGTTGTGTCCTCCTAATACATGCAAACTGTCAAAGAGCCAATTTCTTAAAAGTCACGTTCAATGACTTCCATGCCTGCATGCGGAGCTCAGTCCTGCAGGAAGTGTCCTTGCTCAGCGCTAAAGCAAAACACCACAAGTCAGCTGTTGGCTTTTTTCCGACTGCTGCACGTTCCCCAGCAAATTAACAATGTGTCCCACAAAGGACAGAGACACAGGGTACTCACCATCGGATTTCCATGCAATGACATGTAGGAGTATCCTTTTGTTTATCACCGCGGAAGAGCCAGGTCTTCTGTCCTCACACAGCCGCCACGACGCGCTCCTGATGCGAATCTGTCCGAGTGGCTGCAAGGAGGACGGGTTTGGGAAGCAGGGAGAACTGGGAAATGAGTAGGACAACCTTCGCTCTTCCCAGTCAGAGCTCAGCTCTACAACACTGACGCCTATCTCACTCTCTGTCTTTCTCATGCATGCGCACACACTCATGCAGACGCTTCTATCCTTGTGGGGACACGGATTAATTTACATTTATTGGGCTCTTAGCCGAATCCCTCGAAAAAAAACAGTGCCTCTCATATGTGGTGGCCATAAAGACAAGTGGTCAGTTACTATGTAGCAGGTCCTGGTGAGTGAATTAAATCAAGAACACACACACACGCACACACAAGCATATGTTCCCAAGCTTTAGCTCAGTTTGCGAGCGGAGGAGGCCCCCTATTGGTGGCACAAGTGAGTCTCCGGCTGCATGTAGGTGATTTACAGCTGCATTTGTAAAGGCATTTTAAATTAAAATAAAATCTAAAAATGCTACTTATTTTGACAAAGCATTCAGAAAAAGCAAAATCTCAGTGCTGTCAGACCTTAATTTCAAATCAATGTAGAGCTCTTTCTAGTTGTGAGGATTTAGAAAATCACCCTGAAGACCTGAAGTAGTCAAATCTTTCCATGTTGTTTCACTGTGTGCTGTCAGATGCATAGATGAATGTGTTACGCACTACTGGAGAATAACTCAGCATTGTGTTTTTAAACTAAATAACTGAAAGACCTCTCTGTCGAATATAATTTCATTTGATTTTAATATTTGTAGATATTTAATTACAATCAATCAAAATGCAAATTGGTTTCAGAACACAAACAGCAAAAGTATTCCTTTTTTTTAAACAACATAATTGCAATATCTTATTAAATGTTCTGAAGGTAATTTGTGGATTTCAACAAAGTTTGGCAATGTCTTCATTCTTTCCAGAGCTGTACAACACAATAGTCATTAATGATACTACGGTGCCCCTGTGTTTTTATAGATCTCTGGAGAGAAGCTCAAAAACACTCAAAAGGTGTTTCATTAAATCTAAGTCAGCGTCTACAGCTAACTTGGCCAGTTTTCACCTTTTCCTATTAAAGTTGTTTTGTGTTTGCTGCAGCATGTTTATGACATTGCTATGAAACCCCTTTGCTCTTAATTTCATCTGAGGACACAGAGTTTCTTCTCATTTAGTATTTGGTTGTCACCCATTTTCCTCCTACGACTGAATATAATTCTTAATGAGGGTTTAGATGTCACAGCAAACATGAAATCATTCTTAAGTAAATATTTTTGTACTCAAATTTCCTTTCAGCAAATATCTCTTTATGTTAATAGAGTCCATTCTTGTGACATGTTCCACAAATATGTTATATAAATAATGTAAATATAAAATATGATGCCAAACTAAACAGCCATTTCACTATTGATATTAATATTTATGTGACATTGTTTTGTTTTTATTTGTATATCCTCAACTCAAACATTATTTAGATGGTGCCTTTCACAGAAATGAAATTCACAGAGCATTTCTCAAAAGGATAACATCAGTATTGAAAAATAAGAGATAAAATATAAACATGACAATCAGTAACAAGACAATTAAACTTCAAAGTTAAAATACCTGTTAAACAGCTAAAACCCAGTAAAAATACAAGAGGTTAACCAAAAGCCTTTAAAAACAAGTTAGTCTTCAGTCATTTAATTAAAATTTCCACCAAGGGCATTGAGCGAAGCAACAGTGAAGTGCATTCCACAAACTGGGATCAACAACCTGGAAAGTGAGGTCACTTATTTTCCTAAATTTAGTACAAAGGATCCTGAAAAGGTAGCATTCTGCAGAGCTAAGAGGATGTCTTTAATTTGCTTGAGTGCTAGTCCATGCAAGGCCTTGTAGGTCAGTAATGCCAACTTTCTGAGTTTGTCCAGCAGCAGGCAGCATTGGTAAGATTTAAGTGTGTTTGACTCGTGTCTTCCTGTTTTCATTTCTATTACCTAGATTGTGCTAAAGATTTTTATTTATTCTAGATTGCTGAGCAACTTTGTTGATACTATTTGAGTTTGCACAAAGCTCCGCTATTAAATCCAGGCCACTGTGTATAAAAACCGAACATATACGGTGTTTTGAACATAGAGGTGCCCCATGCTGCTTTCTGTACTGTATAAATGACTTCCTCCTGAGTTTCTGGCTTTGGCAGCAGATTAGAGCTACCTGACAGGGTCGGTCGATTTGGCCCCATGTAAATGGAGGTCATTTACAGGATGTTTGAGGGTAGAGTGCTGGATCAGTGAAAACTGAGAAGACAAATCCTCTCTTTCTCAATAACTTCACCTTGCAGACACAGAAAATCTAAAAACAGTGTCACAGTGTTTTTCACCAGTTTTGTAGAAGATTTGAACATCTTTGACTGAGATATAGTGGTGGATAACTTGCGTAATGATGGATACAAACAAAGTATTTTTTGGTTTATTCAAGAAATATGTATTGGTGCTACATTTATTTTTGTGTCTACAATGTTTTGAATAGAGGATAGTAGAGAGCTCATGGTTTAGAACCAAACTTGCAAATGATACTGTATTCTGATGCAGAGATAGAAATCTGTCATGGCTGAGTAAAAAGGGCATCCTTTGCATAATTTATTCAGAAAGCTGTAATGTATCCCTCCGCGTGTTCATATGGCTTTGTGTACTAGACATTGATCATGTCGTGAATCAGAAACTGGAGATTTCTCTGCACAGATGCTGATGGAGCTTCCATCATGAAGCACTTTTTTTTGCAGGAAAAATGCATGGCTGAAATATGATTGATGCTTTTTTTTACTATTTGTAAAGCAGTATTTTTTCATGCAAGATGAGCAGTGGTGAACAAGATTCCTGTTCACTGCAAATGTCCCCTCGCATCTTCCTGCTTAACTAGGGGGGCAGTTTTTTTCTGGATCCAGAGTAGAATTTTGCTGCTGAGTCGAAACATCATGTCATCTTTTATTTATCTTCTTACTGCCCAGACATGACGGTAGGACCGTGTTTCTGTTTATAGTGGTGATGATTAAACTAGATGTTCTGACCTCACAGGGAAGTTGCCACTTCATTATGAGAGTCTCACCAAGTATTGTCCCTGTGATTAAATTATAGAGCTAGACAAGCAGGGCTTTTAAATGTTCATGATGACTTTATTTTCCCAAATCCAAAACAGGAGGAGAACAACAGACTGAATGTCAATATTCTCTGAGCTGCAAATAAATAAATAAATAATTTAAACAGTTTTATATGAGCCCTATTTAAATTTAAGCAAAGTTGTGACTGATGCAGAACAACCAAACCTTAAATTTGTCTGTGTCAAAATTGATGATGCACAAGCTACAAATGAAACAGCTACACATAAAGGAGAAACAACATACAATCTTTCATACTTTAGAGGCATACTATGCAACTTTTTCATATTTTAAAAATCATTTTCTTAAGCCAGTATGAGCTAAAATGACCCTTTACTGGGTTAATGAAATGTCACTCAAACTTCCATCGCTCCCTGTGTCCAGAATATTGCACTTGCAACTTCAGAGTTGCTGGGCCAGTCCCTGTTGGACAAAATAAAGAGGAGCTGACATGCCTGCACTGGAGTCTGCTTCCAGTATGTTTCCTGGATGTGTTATGGATCATGGCATGACAGCTGGCTTGTTGGATTTAATGATAAATCACTCCTGTAGAAATTAATGAAGATTGAGGAGACATTTACACAGCAAAGAGATACGTTTCACTTTTGCTTTGATTAATGGCCACTAGAGGGTGCTAAAAGTGTAGCAATTAATATATATTAATAATGACCAATAAGATGTGATATTCCATGCAAATATGAAATACCAATCTGATGGTTCTTTGAATGTTTAATCAGAAGATTCTCGGGTTCTTGCTTATTCAGGGACCATAATCACACCTCGTATTAATTCAGACAGAGTCAGTATCTAGTTTATAAAATGAATTTAATTATTTTCCTAAACTAATGATACATGACAAGATATGAATAAGGAGATGTGATGTGGTGGATGTGAGGTGTTGTGATGGAAGCTAGATGTTGTAGCAACCGTTCTTTGTATCTAGGAGAAATTGTGAAATCTGGGTGTAAAAGAATTAGTTGTTTGTTATAACTAGAGAGTTGTTTATTTATAAACCTCATCAGCCACCAGCATGCAGGCTTATGATACCCTGGTATGAGTTGCTCCCAGCGGTCTGGAGGTTTGCTGTCAGAGTGGTGAGGTCACCGGACGTCGAAACCACAATACTCAGAGATTAGTAGCTTCCTCTGAGTTCAGCCTCCCCGGCCATGAGATGCAACCCGGGGTCTGCAGATTAGGTGTCCAAGGTGGATGTCTGAGAGTTGAAGTAGCTCTGAAAAGTGCTGTTGTGTCTGTAATCACTTGCAGCATCGCAGAAAGGTTTTGACTAAACCCTCTCAGGCTCAAAATAAGTTTTGATAAAAGGGCAAACAACTAAGTCCTTCAGAGGTACTTCTGAGTTAAAAAATGCTCATGAAATATGTATATGGAGTAACCAGGTAGGTAGGTTTTAACGTTGCAAATCTGCAACACCTGCCTCCAGAGGGTTAAAGTCAAAGGAGTTTGTTTCAAAAGAGATGCTTCTTTCCCGATTTGGCCGAATCGGGGTCAGCTGGAAACTGAATTACTCGGGAAGTAATTCTTGTTTTACTGTCCTCATGGGTGACCCTGCCAGGGAAGTTGACCATTGAGCAGAATTGATGGTTTATCCCTTGAGGTCCACGTGACAGGGGTGAGGTGGTGCTCACTCCTCACCCCTGCCATGTGGACTTCAAGGGATAAACCATGAACCCTGCTCAATGGTTAACTTTCCTGGCGGGGTCACCCATGAGGATGGTGGGAGGGTTAAACAACTTTGTTACGATTTCTGGCCAAGTTTGGCAAATCAGAATTTGACACGTTTCTGAGTATTTACCAACATCTCTCAGAAACCCACGCCTTCCTTCAGATACAAGATTCTTAACAGTGTGAATAAGAATCTTTAAAACTCTTATGTGAAGTGCATATTAAAACACATACTTATTTGTGATTTAAACTGATCATTGTAAGAACAATATTAATTTTAAATTCATTGATTTAAGCACAGATTATTCAAACATTTCATTAATCACATATGAAACGTCATGTCCTACCGTCATGTCTGAGCTGCTTCAAAATGGCCACCATTGTCCCTGTACCCAAATCCTCCACCATCTCCACATTGAATGACTGGCGACCTGCAGCCCTGACACCCATCGTGAGCAAATGCTTTGAGAAGTTGGTCAGGGACTTCATCTGCTCTGCACTGCCCGATTCACTGGACCCTCTACAGTTTGCATACCGCCACAACAGGTCCACTGATGATGCCATAGCCCTGACACTCCATGCTGCCCTATCACACCTGGAGAAGAGGGACACGTATGTGAGAATGCTGTTTGTAGATTACAGCTCAGCATTCAACACCATTGTTCCCTTGAAGCTGGACAGGAAACTGCAGGATCTAGGACTGAGCAGCTCCCTCTGCAGCTGGATCCTTAACTTTCTGTCTGACAGACGCCAGGTGGTCAGACTGGGCGGCACCACCTCATCCACCGTCACACTGAACACTGGTGCTCCGCAGGGGTGTGTGCTGAGCCCTCTCCTGTACTCACTCTACACCTACGACTGCACGGCCACGAGAAACTCCAACATCATTGTGAAGTATGTGGACGACACCACAGTGGTAGGTCTCATCACCAACGACGATGAGACGGCCTACAGGGAGGAGATCAGCGCCCTGACCCACTGGTGTCAGGACAACAGTCTCACCCTCAACGTCACAAAGACAAAGGAGATGATAGTGGACTTCCGGAGGAGCAGAGGAATACACACCCCCATCACCATCAACGGCGACGCTGTGGAGAGGGTGAGCAGCTTCCGTTTCCTTGGAGTTCATCTGGCAGAGGATCTTACGTGGTCAGTGCACACGGAAAATACAGTGAAGAAGGCACAGCAGCACCTCTTCTTTCTCAGAAGACTGAAAAGATTTGGCATGAGCCACCGCATCCTCAGGACCTTCTATCGCTGTGCCATTGAAAGCATCCTCACTGGATGCATCTCCGCCTGGTATGGCAACAGCACCGCTTACAACCGCAAAGCTCTCCAGAGAGTAGTGCAGTGTGCAGAAAGGATTATTGGAGGTGAGCTTCCCTCCCTCCAGGACATCTACAGGAAGCGGTGCCTGAGGAAAGCGGGGAGGATCATCAAGGACTCAAGTCACCCCAGCCATAAACTGTTCAGACTACTTCCATCAGAAAGGAGGTTCTGCAGCATCCGGTCCAGAACCAGCAGACTGAGAGACAGCTTTTTCCATCAGGCCATCAGACTGCTGAACACGGCGCAGACACCTCACCCTCACTACTGAAACTCCAACATTACACACTCCATACTGTACATTAATGCCACTGTTTTGCACATACCAACCTCTGTACATTTTATATCTCTTATCTTATTGTTTACTTTATTCATTTGTAAAACACGTATATACCCACTATACACACACTCACACGCACACACGTAGAACAATATATTAAAAAATATATATATACTTGCATAAACATTTAGTAATGTATATACATTACAACTTATACATATTATTACTTAGATTAGCCATTTTTATATTTTACTAGTTTTTACATTACTGTATTTTTGCATAACTCTGTTGCTGTGAGGCTCGCTTACAAGAATTTCACTCGCATGTACTGTACCAGTGTACCTGCACATGTGACGTGACAATAAAAGTGATTTGATTTGATTATTTAACTTATAACTATAACATCGTGGAGTCTTCACTTATTCAGAGTGAAGAATGTTGACGTCTGGCTTTCACAGAGAGTGCAGGAACCTTGGGAGAGAATGTTTGGATGTTTTGTCTTCATGGAACGTCAACACGCGCTGAGCAGAACCTTCTGGATTTAGAAGGCCACATAGAAAGTGGATTTATGCTGTAGATGAAAGATTATTATGTTGATCAATATACAGGTGAAAATTGTCCCTTTTGGCATGTTACAAAAGCAAAACTACTCAGTATTCCTTTAAAGTGTAGCATCACATTTAAAACAAATTGATGAATTATTTCCTAATTAAATCAAACTTCAGCTATTTATAAATCAGCAAAGCAATATATTAACGCTCATAAAAATCTGATGAAATAGGAATGCAACACATTTCTCATCACAAAAGCTTTCATCTATGTAGGTCGCTCCTTTTATGCTTTTTCTTCTTTTAAAGTGACCACTACACAATAGCGTTTGGTTATTTTTTGATTATCCAAAAAAAAAACTCACAGAAAGACTGCTACTGTCTCTTCCAGATTTAACAACTGGTAAGCTATCAACCCTGACACCATTGGTGTCTATGAGCTTGTCTGTGAGAGGGTCTGGGCTGTGTTAAAGTTGATTACAAGTCAAGAACAAGGACTTCAAATTAGGGATGCTTGACATTGGCATTTTTTAACCAATATCTGATATACTGATATTGCTGAATCTTAATATCCGATACTGATATAAACCAATACCGTTAAATGCAGGGTCCTCCTCTCATAAAAAAAGAAAAACTGAAAGACTAAAACATTTTAGGGTTACTAACATCAAATATCTTCTATCATGCATGCCTACATTTTCAGTGCAAAATGACAACGACTTCAATTTAAGTTAGAACAGGAAAAATAAAATATTTATTTTGTCTCCAACGGCAAATGAATTTCATTCTCCCTGAGTGTGACACTCAGATGTGTTTATTAGTTTCTAATGTAATTTTTGTTTTTCTATAAATTGCAGCTATGATGATAAAATATTTATAAAGTTTTTCAGATAAGAAATGTGAGCCTTGGGAGAAGATCCTTGTTTTGTTTTATTGGTTTGTAGCTACATTTAGCTATGTGCTGTGAGGACAGCACTCATCCACTACATAGGGCAGATTCCTACTTCTCAAGTAGTGCCAAATAAATAAAGTGCCAAAATATCTCAAAAACATTACCTCTGACATTTTAAGAGAGAGGGGAAGCAGCTCAATTGTTTGATGTATAGCATGCGTATGGTATAAATCAGGGGTGCCCAATCCTGGTCCTGGAGGGCCGATATCCAGCAGGTTTTGTGTATTTTCTGCTGCAACAGACTTGATTCAGTGGTTGAAACACCTGTGCAGCAGCTCATCAGGCTCTGCAGAAGTCTGTTAATTAGCTGCTGATTGAAATCAGGTCTGTTGAAACAGAGTTCAAACTAAAACATGCAGGATACCGGCCCTCCAGGACCAGGGTTGGGTACTCCTGGTATAGTTGGATCATTAAAAGACTGAAAACCAATACCAATATTTCCCACAATGAAACTTTAATGCCAATACCTGCCGATATCAATGGTAGACTGATAATATTGAACATCCTTACCTCAAATGGTTTATCCTTTTTAATATAGTGTTCTTTCTGTAAGCCAATAATGACAGGGTTCGGTCTGAAATAGACTTCAACATCAGACCACAGCAGAATCTGCATTAGCATAATTTTTAAGTTAAAATCACATTTATTTTTTTATGGGATACTTATATTTCATAACTTTAACATGATTTCTGGATCACAGGTAATGTTATTGCAGGTCATTTTTGCATTTGCAGCCTAAATTGATTCTCTGTATTTAGTCAAATGAACTCAGTGATCAACAATAACAGAGAGTATGAGAGAGGTTTTATTACTGTATGAAGATCTCTGTTTGAAGCTAGTTTTAGTGACCGTCACAGTCACTTTAAAGGCACACCATTCTGTTTACCTTCTGTTTCCTGCTGTGTAAGCTTCACATGTGGATCAGGTTTGTGCTAGAACACACTCTGTACCTGCTTGTCTAAAACCCATCAAGTGCAGTAGAAACCATGAGAAAATGACTTGGCAGAAGCCATGGGTGTCATCTCTTTTTGCTATGAAATCAAAATGCTGCGATCCCCAGTGTCTTAAAATAACCCCTCATCCATAATGCACCAGCAGCGTTTCAGTCCACAGAGACGCCTCATGCGGGACAGCCTGACAGACATCTGCACTCAGTGCTTGGGTGCAGCTCACTCTTCTTCTTCTTCTTCTTCTTCTGAACTTTTTAAACTTCCTTCATTCATTCATACTTTATCCACACCTCCTGCTCATGCAGAATTTGAGGGAGTGCCTCAGTTGTCTTGCACTCCTGTTTTTTTCCTCCCTTTTTCTGCCTCACTGTTTCCTGCAACCTTTTCTATAAATTATGGATCTCAGCTATGTTGAAAAAGTTCTCATCATGGTTTTGTGGAGTCAGGTTCATTTGTTTCTTTGTTTATACATCTTAAGCAAGGTGTTTGAAATGCATCAAGCATTGCATCTCATGTTATCTCACTTTTTGCACTTTGTCTGCAGGCTGTGATGCTTTCGCCTGTGTCTGTGTTCATACCACGAACCACATGAAGGATTTTAATAAAACCCTCAGAAAGTAATCACCGGATGATATTGTCTGATAAATCACTCTATAACTGACAAACATTCATGCATCAAAACCTATTTTTTTTAGTTATATTTGACATTTTGAAATCAGTAAACATGAAAGGAACTGTGCTGTGGTCAGTCTTGATCCAGTCATGAATGAACTTCATACATGTGTAGATGGGAGAGGTAGGGATCAAACTGAAGATGTGGGAAGAAGCAGAGAGAGGGTGGGGAGGATGGTGTGCCATGCAAAGAGAGAGAGAAAGAGAGAGTCTTTGTGACGTAGCAGGAGCCTGAGAGCTGAGAATGGCGGAGAACGGGGGGGGGGGGGGGGGGGGGGGGTGCAAAGACAGAGAGAGGAATGGACTGCTTACCAGCACGCTACAGTAGACTTCATTGTTGCCCAGGAGAGAGCACACACCATGGCTGACTAACAGCAAGCAGAGAGACGGGGAGAGTGCTCTCCTACCTCCATCTGAGTAAGTTACCTTGCTGTCTCCTCTAAATCTTCAAAAACCTGACACATCTGTGCTTTCTTTTTCTATTTTTAGTAGAATATTAGAATTAGGGAGATTATAAGTAGAAACACTGTTTTAGTTCAAAGTCAGGAAGTTTCTGCAGGCATAAAAGTGGTTGATAACATAAGTTTTTGTGTAATTTCTATAAATGTGATACATGTAAGATTTGTCACCCTGATCACTGACATTTATTTAGTTGCTCTAATGCAGAAAATGACATTTAGAGAACATTTGTATGACGGTGGACCAGTAGGTGCATCTCTCTGTTGGAGGGGAGAGGAAGGAGTGCATTTGGGACCGCCATGCTTCCTGTGTGAGGTCAATTAAATACTGCATGAGACAGAGCACTAAAAGCCTGTCCCGTGAGGAGCAAAGTGCTTTGTGTGTTTATGATGAGTGTGTGTGTGTGAGTGTGTGTGTGTTGGTGCATCAGCGTGCAAGCCTTGATTAAATTTGATGAACCAGCAGTGTTGAGAGAACTAGAATTCCCAATTCCAGTTCTGGAGTCCTGTTTTAGAAACAGTGTTTATGCTATACATGGAAACATTCAGCATCCACGACTTTATGTTTCTGAATTTATGCAAACAAATGCTCTAACAAACGCGAGTTTTAGCACGTTAACACGCCCAGTTTTCCTTTTCTTCTTTACCCTCTGCAACCCTTATTCACAGATGGCTTTTTATTTTTTTTCCAGTAAGAGGAAATATTTCGATGCGTGCGAGTATGTAGGGCGACGTTACATATTCATAACTCTGACATTCCCACAGTTAGCTCAGCCCACTAGTCAAGATGCACCAATTAGGCCTGACTCAAACCTGAATCAGGTCAGCTTCCAACAAACACATCTGACTTAATGAGGGATTCAGCGCGCTGCTGTTTCCGTATTGCAGCAAGAGTACACAACTTTTATGTGGGTTAGATGCAGCCTCTCTGTGCTTTGAAGCAGTTTGGTGAAGTCAGGTTGAGGGATCCCCAGGGGGGATGAGAGAAGGCGCGGCGTGAGCCAGTGGGGCCGAACTGACATCCTGGATGAAAGAGTCTGGATCAGGTTTGTTGCATCCTCTTATGGAAAAATAAACTCTTATGGTGACTCATAAGAAACCAGCTCTGTTATAAAGTGAAGTTGCAAGTGAAACAGCTGCAGGATCAGAAGACTTACTACAGACACATCGATGGTTTCCTGAAGTTACATTAGAAGGGTGGAGCTGCTGAGGACAGTGTGGAGTATCAATCTGGGTGGCTCTGGTATTGATCCACTGACTCTGCCCTACTCTGGTTGCACTTCTCGCTGGCTCTGAAACATCCACCTCTTGCAACGATGCTGCCTCAACTCCTGCTGCACACACACATGCACACACACAAACACACTAGATTAAGGGGCCTCTTCACAAGGTAAAATGCTCCATATGTAGGCTTGTGAAAGCACAGGGATTGTGCTTAAAGCTCCAGTTTTATTGTGGGGGATCTATAAGTCAGTTTGCTGTAAATACTCATCACCTGGTGCAGAGATTTCCAGCTGCTTACAGACTTTAGTTGCTCTGAATCAGGCACTAAAGTCAGGATGTTTTAGAGTTGAGAAATGAGATGGAAAACATGAATAAAAAATGTTTTTTAGCCTGTTCTAAAACATTTAATCAGTTGTGTTGTTGATACAAACTTCTGCTCTGTGACTTCTCTTTTACCTTGTATTCTTATTTCCTCAGAGTATTTTTTTTCTTATTGCAATTTGCTTTTAACATTTGCCAGTTGTTCTGTTTTTGGTCAACTAAGAGGAGATAAAGTAACAAGCAAAACTTAAATAAACAAAAATGCAAATAAAGCACTATTTGTGTTGCTTTTCTTTTATTTACCAAGAATTATACAAAAAAATTAAAGAAAAAAGGAAAACAGACATGCTCTGGTGAGATTTGCCACCATTATTTTCTCCTTTCATCTTTATTGTGAAGACTTCAGTGAATAATGATGAAGTACAAAAAAAGAGAAAACAGGAAGCGGGCTGCGCTGCAGCGATGGTGTTAATGTTGTTTTTGGATGAGAAACGAGTCTGCTATGGTATTCTGTCAAGCCTCTGAGTTCACATTCAGATGGGCGAACCGGAGTCAGTGAATGTGGCTGAGCCGCTCTCAAATCTGCTTTTCTCCTTCTTGGGGGAATTCATTGAAACTCAGTGAACTTTGACAATCCTCCACCATCCTCTCCCGCTGTCAGCCCCAGTCTGTGAAGGGAGGAGTGTGAGTAAAGCAGCGAGAGCTAAATTTAGAGCAACCAAACAGCAACGGGATGACAAAAAAAGAAATGTTCTCCTGTTAATTTCTCACCCTGTTGTTTTAGCTGCTTCTCTGTGTCCTTCTCTTCCTTCTGTGACTTTTCAAATCTTACTTTTATCATGCTTTCTTTTCTACTTATTGCAGATTTTAAGAAAGATAACCAATCAGATAAAATAAATGAATTAGAAACAAAGATATGTTGGTCCTTCTGTATTCCTCTTCCAGCCTGTCCTACTCCTCACTGTCTACATTTTGATGATCACAGCTTTTTGCTCAGTGCTAATAATGTAAAAGTTTGTTCTCTGAGCTGAAGGCATTTGAGAGTTTTTGCAATAATCAAGTGATTCTGTTTGTGTGCCCTGCTCTGCGTTGCTTCTCTTTAATTTTGAAAAGCCACACAGACATATTGCCCTGAGATGTTTTCTGCTAAAAGCCTTAGTGGAGTGCACTTATTTCCTGAACAGGCAACGTTGAATGAGGGTAAGAGTGTGTGTTTGTGTGCTGCTAGCAATAATGGACCCCTAAGTAGGGTTCTCAGTGCCCGGGGCGACCTCAGGAGCAGGCACCCATGAGAGGTTTGTTTCCCACGGCGGAGACCTCTCTGCTGGATATTAGGACATCTGATGGACCCTACATGGCTGCTTGCTGACTCACCTCTGCATTTCTGCTCTGTAGCCTCATGCATCACCTTGCTGTCAGAAGGATGTTGCGGGACAGACAGACAGACAAAACGTGTCCTGTTTGTGTCTCTTCGTTTATGTCCAGCTCTTTGTTGTCCACCCTTCTGCATTTCAGTTCTTGTTCTGCAAAAGGGGAATGTCACCTAGAACTGATCACTGGTGATCGCCAGCACTTAACGTGGCGCTCGATCTTTGTTTTTGTTTTATTTATAGAATCTTTCCATTGAAAATGAGACTTGGTGTGAGAGCACACGGAAGAGGAACGTATGGAAAAGCCAGTGTTCGAGAGATGAGGGATATATTAGGGTGATGGGGAGGAAACCAGGAGAGGAGTTTGAAAGAGGAAAGTGTTTTTCTTAGATGAGGTCCAGTTGGAAGCAAAAGAAAACCCACCACACTTCACACACCATCACTGCAGCCAGTGTATCAATTTTGTAGAGGAAATGACTTTTGATGCAGCGCAGCAATGGCTGTGAAGCACTTAGGCTGAGCGCCTCCCTCCTGTTTCTCCCTACTGTAACCATGGGCTGATGGGAAGAGGGTTTTTTTCCCTGAGCCATGAGGAGAAGAGCGTGCTGGCAGCTGAATCATGTCTGCCTCTGACTCTAGCGCTACAGGACTAATCAACAAGGTATCTCTTTTTTAATCAGTTTGCATGTGACAACACCCCCCACACCCCCGCCCCACCAGTCACATAAATCTTTGCTCTGGGATGATTACAGGACTTAACTGTTGTTTCAGCACAAGTCTAATTGGGTCCAGTTAATTTGCCAGCATCGCTACACTTGTCTCCCTCTTCTCCCTCCTTCCTCTCACAGTATTTGAACACACTGTAAACAGGAAATGTGCATATTTCAGTTTTGTCTGGTCCATCTTGTAGATTTTGAGTGAGATAACAGCTCATTGGATGGATGTTTTGCATTTAGTAAACAGTTGTTGGTATTTTGTTTAAAAATGTCTTTGCACTTGCATCCATTAGTGACTCCCAGACTGAGGAGGAGAAAAAGTCATTATTATGAGGATTTTAGGTTATTTTTTAAGACTCATTTTATGGTAAATAGCCTTTATTTGATATAGCACCTTCTAGAGTCCTGGAACCCCCCATAGTGCTTTACAACACAATAAGTCATTCACCCATTCACACACTGGTGGGGATGAGCTACAATGTAGCCACAGCTGCCCTGGGACGCACTGACGGAGGCGAGGCTGCAGAGCACAGGCGCCACCAGTCTCTCCAAACACCACCAGCAGGCAAGGCGGGTTAAGCGTCTTGCCCAAGGACACAATGGCAAACTGAGCGGGGCTGAAACCTGCAACCTTCCAATTAAGGGGGAAGCACTTAACTCCTAACCCTCACCCCATGTGGTGGGTTTATGTGTTACTTTTGTAAACTATAATAATTTAGCAGCTTATCTTTTTGTTCGAGTTTTTGTATTGTTTATATGCCATATTTATTATTATAATTAATAATAACACTTCTGTGCCTTCACTCTGTCTGTTTCTTTTAACTGATTTACTTGCTTCTTTTTGAACACAGGAAAACAGCTGTTTTACCTTTTTTTGTTGACCACCACTGCAGTCTTCCTCAGAGCTCGCTGCAGTTAGAATCGTCACTTCCTTCTCTGTTGATTCGCGGGCAGCAGAGGGCGACGCCGCCCTCTGCATGATGATGACACAGTCCTATGGGAGATACAATGTGTAGACCCATGGTCTCTGTTCATGGTTGTGTGTCCATGTCTCCTTATTTTTATGGCTTCCTTAATCCATCTTTTGTATTTTTGTTGTTCGGTGTTTATGATCCTTGTTCTGTCCCAGTCCATTATATGGTTTTCTCTTGTGCAGTGGTCTGTTACTGCTGCTTTCTTTATTGCGCTTTCTGCTTCTTGTTTTACGGCTCTTGAGTGTCTTTGACTTGATTCTTTCTCACACTCTTTTCTTTGTTCTATTGTTCGTGTGTTGAGTTGGCGTTTGGTTTCTCCCATGTATGATTTATTGCAGAGTTTGCATGGGATTTCATGTATGACTCTACAATTGTGTCCTGCTGACATCTTGTCTTTTGGGTGTACTAGTCTTTTAATAACTGTGGTGTATGGTTTTGTTTGTGTGTTTATGTTGTGTTTTTCATTATTGCTATAATTTTTATGTTATGCCTTTGATGTAAGGAAAGGTTATCACTGGTTTGGATCATGCATGGGACTGTGTCATCGACGAGGAGAGAGCGGGCAGCAGAAGGCGACACCGTCCTCTGCTACCCGCGGGTAAATGGAGAAGGAAGTGCAGCAAGCCAACAGCTGCGAGCTCTGAGGTGGAGGAGCGCAGTGGTAGTCGAAATGTCAGCAAAAAAAGGTAAACAACTCTTCTGTGTTAAAAAAAGAACCAAGTAATGCGATAATAATAATAATAATAATAATAATAATAATAATAACTACATTTTGCCCACTTGTATTTTTTGAATTAATAACTTGCATCTGTTTTATTTTAATTTTATAATAACAAACCAACTTTTAGACTTTGTTTTCATTTACAACAAGGGTTATTGTGTATGCCATTATTATTATTATTATTATTATTATTATTATTATTATTATTATGTATTTGCTCTTTATTTTCCTCTATTATCATTTTATTTATTTTTGTAGCATTGTACCTTTTTTCTGGATTTAATTCATTTTTATGTTACTAACTTGAGACAGTTTAAAAAACAATATTAAATTCTAATATTTAACATTTTTACCAAATAAAATGATTAAATCCTGTAATGAAAGCTGCGCTCACAGCTAGTGTATACTAGAGAATTAGTTAGTTTGTGCTCCCCTCTACTGGTGAGACTCTGCAGCTGCGTCATCATCTGTTTCAGTCAAACCTGTAGTCTGTGAGGGATTTCCCTGTAACTTCTGTTTCTCGTGTTCTTGCACAGAGACTGAGAGTTTAACATGTTATTGCTGCTCCACCACTGAGACCTACAATTAGGTTCTTGTATGGGTCCCATTGCGAGAGTGTGTGTGTGTGTGTGTGTGTGTGTGTGTGTGTGTGTGTGTGTGTGTGTGTGTGTGTGTGTGTGTGTGTGTGTGTGTGTGTGTGTGTGTGTGTGTGTGTGTGTGTGTGTGTGTGTGTGTGTGTGCAAATCACTTCTGAACACACTGTAATGATGCTGAATTTAACAAAGCAGCTTGATTACATTTTATTCTGTCCATCATTGGTAAATTAATTTTAAAGAGGCTGTACGTTTAAACTGTTGCCATTTTTAAGTTAGAAGAAATGTGACTAGAATCATTATTTTTGTTGCCATTTTCAGTCAACTTTTGCTTGTTTAAGACAATTAAGACCTTAATGTTGACCCTCTGTGAGTTAATTTCTTCTGTCCGAGTCAAACGACTTAAGTCAGAGATTCAACTCCTTTTTGCATGAAACGTTGCATCAGATTTGCCGTTTAGAGCAGAATTATATGGAGCTAGGATTGGGACAATATTCAATGTAACTTGTACCAAGTTTTGTAACTTGGAACATGTTTCATGACATGTAACTTTGGATGAGCCTGCCCTCCCTCCTCTCCCAATGATTGGACAGGAATTCGAGAAACGTGATTGGTAGCTAAGACTCGTGCTCTCATTGGTTCCACCCAAGTTCCTCCCACCGAGGCTAGAATTGAGACAAAATGATTTGTAACACTGTAGATTTGAGGTTTGTACCTGTAGAATGAAATGTGTGTTTTGAGAGTTTTGATTTCAAACATGTACATTGATTTTTTTTATTTTGGAAGTCTGCTAGGTAAAAACCGAACGTTTCATGTTTCTGAATGAATGTTTGAAGTTACAAAATTAGTAGTAAATGTACAAAATAAAAGTTTGATTTTACAAAATAAAAAATGCATGTACAAAATGAAAATTTCCTGTTACAAAACAAGAAATACAAGTACAAATTGAGAATTATAAGTTAGAAAACTAAAGTTACAAGTTACGAATTCAAAGTTACATGTCATGAAACATGTTCCAACTTACAAAACCTGGTACAAGTTACATTGAATATTGTCCCAATCCTAGCTCCATAGTTTTATAGCTATAAAAGAGAGAAAGACAAAGTTATTAATCTGATTGTGGACATTGTTTTGTAACACTCTAAAGTTTAATGTAAGGCTCTAAGTCAGAGTTCCAAGTTTCAAGTTATTTCTTGAACCTCTTTTTGCATCAGATATTGCTTCAGAGCCTGCCTGACAGCAGACGCTCCTGAGACTTAGATTCATATTATTACTCCTGCAAGGTTATTATTTTTTTATCACTGGTGCACAATGTAAGCAGAGATTTGAGCTCTATTCTAATAAAAGATCTGCAGAAGCCATATAAACAACAAAAGGCATGTTTTACATCATCAAAATCTGTGAACGCTGCTGGAGTAAGGTACAGTAGAGGAAAAAGCTAGGATGCTAAGAGGGTTAGGATCATAATGATGCATGTAAAACTCCCAGACTTTACATGAAATAATCCATATCCTGATTTTCACTAAAGCTAAAAATAAAAAATGTGGGGGGAAAAAAACTCTATATCACTGAACTGTTGCTTACATTTCAGTGTGATTCTTGCAGACTGGAACTCTGCCAACATGTCGCGTGCGAGCGTGTAAACAGACAACAAGGTTGTGCAGGTTGTTAAGCGTTGCAGCACTTGTGCACATCCTCCCCTGAGAGAGCTGCTTTGGAAAGCTCCAGGAAAGAGCAGGCAGGTGCAGAATCAGGTGAACCATGGGACAAATGGGCAGCTTGGAGGAAACAGTAGCGTGAGGCAGCATTCCTGCTTTTTGTCTCCTGTCATACTTAATGCAACCAGGTGCTGTATTACAGGGGATTTATACGTAGTCCGCCTCATCTGAGAGTACAAAAAAATGTCCACTTCTTCTTTTCTGGCGCTTGTTTCAGGGTTCAGCCGATTCCTACACTAGTCGACCTTCTGATTCCGACCTGTCCCTGGAGGAAGATAAGGAGGCGTCTCGGCGTGAAGCCGAGCGCCAGGCTCAGCTGCAGCTGGAGAGAGCCAAGGTGAGCGCTCAGAAGTTAAATAAAAACTTGATTTCCTGCTTTTACGTTCACCTTTATTCCCCCAAGGAGCCAAAACAATTCTATTTTGTTTTCTTTAAATAAACTTGCATTAGGTTTCTAATGGATGAAAAGTCCTCCTCCTTGAACCGTCACCTTATTGTGGTGGAGGAGTTTGAGTGCCCTAATGATCCTAGGAGCTATGTTGTCTGGGGCACTTAGTGCCCCTGGTAGGGTCTCCCATGACAAATTGGTCTTAGGTGAAGGGTGAGACAAAGAATGGTTCGAAGGATCTTTCATGGCGGTTAAAACGAAGAGTCGGAATACCCGGCCCGGAGAGTTACCGGGGTCCCACCCTGGAGCCAGGCCTGGGGTTGGGGCCCGTGAGCGAGCGCCTGGTGGCCGGGCTTTCGCCCATGGGGCCCGGCCGGGCCCAGCCCGAACCGGATACATGGGCTCGTCCAACTGTGGACCCACCACCCGCAGGAGGAACATGAAGGGTCCGGTGCAATGTGAATCGGGTGGCAGACCAAGGCGGGAGCCTTGGCGGTCCAATCCCCGGACAAGAAAACTAGTTTTTGGGACATGGAACGTCACCTCGCTGGCGGGGAAGGAGCCGGAGCTTGTGGCAGAGGTTGAGCGGTACCGGCTAGATATAGTCGGACTCACCTCGACACATTGCATTGGCTCTGGAACCCGAGACCTGGAGAGGGGTTGGACACTCTACTTTGCTGGAGTTGCTCCGGGTGAGAGGCGGAGGGCTGGGGTTGGCTTTTTGTTAGCCCCGAGACTCTCTGCCTGTGTGTTGGGGTTTACCCCGGGGGACAAGAGGGTAGCTTCCTTGCGCCTTCGGGTCGGGGAACGGGTCCTGACTGTTGTTTGTGCTTATGGGCCAAATATCAGTTCAGAGTACCCACCCTTTTTGGAGTCCCTGGGACGAGTGCTAGATAGTGCTCCATCAGGGGACTCCATTGTCCTGCTGGGGGACTTCAATGCTCACGTGGGCAATGACAGCTTGACCTGGAGGGGTGTGATTGGGAGGAACGGCCCACCTAATCAGAACTCGAGCGGTGTTTTGTTATTGGACTTCTGTGCAAGCCGCAGTTTGGCCATAACGAACACCATGTTCGAACATAAGGATGCCCACCGGTACACTTGGTACCAGGGCAGCCTAGGTCACAGGTCGATGATAGATTTTGTAGTCGTATCATCTGACCTGCGGCCGTATGTTTTGGACACCCGAGTGAAGAGAGGGGCGGAGCTGTCAACTGATCACCACCTGGTGGTGAGTTGGATCAGATGGCAAGGGAACATGCCGCGTAGACCTGGCAGACCCAAACGCATAGTGAGGGTCTGCTGGGAACGCCTGGCAGAAGAACCTGTCAAGACGGTCTTCAACTCCCACCTCCGGCAGAGCTTTGACCACGTCCCGAGAGCAGTGGGGGACATTGAGTCCAAGTGGGCCTTGTTCCACTCTGCGATTGTCGAGGCGGCTGTTGCTAGCTGTGGTCGTAAGGTGGCCGGTGCCAGTCGTGGTGGCAACCCCCGTACCCGCTGGTGGACACCAGAGGTTCGGGGAGCCGTCAGGCTGAAGAAGGAGGCCTACAGGGCGTGGCTGGTCTGTGGGTCTCCGGAGGCAGCAGACAGGTACCGGATAGCCAAGCGGGGTGCAGCAGTGGCAGTTGCCGAGGCAAAATCTCGGGCGTGGGAGGAGTTTGGTGAGGCCATGGAGAAAGACTATCGATCGGCTCCAAAGAGGTTCTGGCAAACTGTCCGGCGCCTCAGGAGAGGAAGGCAGCAACTCGCTCACACTGTTTACAGTGGGGATGGGGAGCTGCTGACGTCAACTGAGGCTATAGTCGGACGGTGGAAGGAATACTTTGAGGAGCTCCTCAATCCCACCAATGCGCATTCCGAGGAGGAACCAGAGCTGGGAGACCTGGGGATGGAATGTCCGATCTCGGGGGCAGAAGTTGCTGAGGTAGTCAAACAACTACACAGTGGCGGAGCCCCGGGGGCGGATGAGGTTCGTCCTGGGTATCTCAAGGCTATGGATGTTGTAGGGCTGTCATGGTTGGCACGTCTCTACAACATTGCGAGGTCATCGGGGGCAGTTCCTAGGGAGTGGCAGACCGGGGTGGTGGTCCCCATCTTTAAGAAGGGTGACCTGAGGGTGTGTTCCAACTATAGGGGGATCACACTCCTCAGCCTCCCTGGAAAGGTCTACTCCAAGGTACTGGAGAGGAGGGTCCGATCGATAGTTGAATCTCAGATAGAGGAGGAGCAATGTGGTTTTCGTCCTGGCCGTGGAATTGTGGACAAGCTCTATACCCTTGCAAGGGTGATGGAGGGGGCATGGGAGTTTGCCCAACCAATCCACATGTGCTTTGTGGATTTGGAGAAGGCTTATGACCGTGTCCCCAGGGGCACCCTGTGGGGGACGCTCCAGGAGTATGGGGTGGGTGGCTTTCTGTTAAGGGCCATTCAGTCCCTTTGCCAGAGGAGCGTGAGTTTGGTCCGCATAGCCGGTAGTAAGTCGGACCTGTTCCCAGAGAGGGTTGGACTCCGCCAGGGCTGCCCTTTGTCACCGGTTCTGTTCATCACTTTTATGGACAGAATTTCTAGACGCAGCCGTGGTGTGGAGTGTGTCGAGTTTGGTGGCAGGAGAATCTCGTCTCTGCTTTTTGCGGATGATGTGGTCCTCCTAGCTTCATCCAGCTCTGACCTTCAGCTCTTGCTGGGTAGGTTCGCGGCCGAATGTGAAGCGGCTGGGATGAGGATCAGCACCTCCAAATCTGAGACCATGGTTCTCGACCGGAAAAGGGTGGCTTGCCACCTCCGGGTCGGGGGAGAGGTCCTACCTCAAGTGGAGGAGTTTAAGTATCTCGGGGTCTTGTTCACGAGTGAGGGTAGGAGGGATCGGGAGATCGACAGGCGGATTGGTTCGGCATCTGCAGTGATGCGGACGCTGAGCCGATCTGTCGTGGGGAAGAGGGAGCTGAGCCAGAAAGCCAGGCTCTCGATTTACCGGTCGATCTACGTCCCAATCCTCACCTATGGTCATGAGCTTTGGGTAATGACCGAAAGAACGAGATCGCGGATACAAGCGGCCGAAATGAGTTTCCTCCGTAGGGTGGCCGGGCTCAGCCTTAGAGATAGGGTGAGGAGCTCGGACATTCGGGAGGGACTCGGAGTAGAACCGCTGCTCCTCCGGATCGAAAGGAGCCAGTTGAGGTGGTTTGGGCATCTGGTCAGGATGCCTCCTGGACGCCTCCCCGGGGAGGTGTTTCGGGCATGTCCTGCCGGCAGAAGGCCCCCGGGTCGACCCAGGACACGTTGGAGAGGTTACATCTCCAATCTGGTCCGGGAATGCCTTGGGGTCCTGCCGGAGGAGCTGGTGGACAAGGCCGGGGAGAGGACGGCCTGGAGCTCCCTAGTTGGGATGCTGCCCCCGCGACCCAGACCCGGATAAGCGGAGGAAGACGAAGACGAAGACGAATGGATGAAAAGTCATTTGGAAGAAATGTCAGGTTTTTTTTTACTTTATTTGTCTCCAAACAGACCAAACCAGTAGCATTTGCAGTGAAAACCAACATGAGTTACTGCGGAGCCCTTTACGATGACTGTCCAGTTCAAGGTTCTGCTGTTATCTTTGAAACCAAAGACTTTCTGCACATCAAAGAGGTGAAGCAGCAAAGACTTACTGAAGCATTATTAACATTCACATGAAAAGGTTTCATCTTTGTTACACAATTTTTCTTTTTATGCAGAAATACAACAATGATTGGTGGATCGGTCGGCTAGTAAAAGAAGGAGCAGACATCACATTCATCCCAAGCCCTGTAAAACTGGAGGCCATGAGGATAAAACAAGAGGAAAAAGCAGCTGCAAGGTCAGAGGTCACACAACACTGAAACACCTATTATTTATTACTCCTCTTGTATTTCTCTCTTCCTGAGATCTGATCAGCTCCTTCTGCAGGAAGCTCCTTCAAAAGTCTTTTGCCGACATAAATAGTTCATAAGTTTGGAGGTCTTCCTCTGCAAATTGCTTCCTGAAGAGCTTCACGCTTAATGAAGTTTTATATTATGTTGCTCCACAGGAAAGGAGGCAACGTGTCATCAGGAGGCTGGAGGTCTACCCCTCCATCTGCAGGTGAGTGAAGTTCTTAGCCTGGCCTGCCAGACTCATCCTCTGTTTAATTCTGCACAGAGAATGAGTCTGGTAACTGTCCTATTCAAATAACCCCTCCCCGTGAGATTTCTAACCGAGCCAATCAGCGCTGAGTATCGCACGTCACACACCACAACGCTGAATTTGTCGAACATGGTGACTGAAGCGGAGTTCGCTGCGGCTCTTTCCTCTGGTCTAAACAACTTGGACACAGCAAGTAGAAGCACTAAAAGCCTTTCTTCTAAAGAAAGATGTTTGCGATGTTGCCAGACTCCATTTTTGACTACAGCTAAAAAAACGACAGTGCCGCGGACGTCACACACAGCGATGCTCACTTTCTCATAAACAGCAAAGACAGCAGCGGAGTTCACTGCGGCTCTTTTCTCTGTTCTAAATGACTCAAATGACTTTAAAACCACAAGTAGAATCGCTAAAAGCATTTCTTCTAAAAAAAACTAAAAGATGTTTGCGCTGTTGCCAGATGCAATTTTTTTACTACAGCATCGTGCGATACAGTCGGGATTTCCAGCTTTCTTCTGATTGGTTACTTTGAGCTGCCTAGTCCCGCCCATCAAGTGCCTCTGCCTGTGAGTTACCAGACTCATTCTCTGTGCAGAATGAAACAGAGGATGAGTCTGGCAGGCCAGGCTATGAAGTTCTGCTGCTGCTGGGACATCATCCCTCCTCAAAACGAACTAACAATCCTAACAAACCCGACGGAAGTGAGAGAGTTTTATCAGCTTTCCATGCAGACTAAAATCTTATATTTACTTTAGATTAATAAGCTTTACAATGATGTCATAATCAATCTGTTTATTCCAAAAGCTAAACAGAAGCAGAAACAGGTACGTTTGCAATTTCCTCTTTTTCTCTCCTATCCGTCACCTAAAACAGTTCTAATCTTTAAAGTGGGTACTTTGGAACTGTACCCAAGTACAGTATCTAACCTGTATAAGTATCTTACCTGTTGAATGTACCTCATCACTAGTCAGTGACTTGATGCAATTTGCTGGGTTCCTTATATAGGAAACTTTTTACTGATTGACTTAGTGAACTGGCCTGTACTGGAATGTTTATTATGTGAAGTGCCTTGAGACGACTCTTGTCGTGATTTGGCGCTAAATAAATCAACTTGAATTAAATTGAATTTAAAAATAACCTCAGTTTGAAGAAACAGAGGTTGGTTTTGATCAGATTGATAAGCTAATGGCTAGTTCAAGAGGAGCCAAGATGAAAAGTGGATTGATGCTGTCTTAAAAATTAAATTCATGTTAAAACAAGAAAGCTATAGTTTATAAACCCTTTAGAGTCGTGTTCCTCACATGAGTATTCACATAGACACTTCATAGTGGACTTTCATATTTCTGCAGGAATAACCATGAAATGTGGAATTTGTGACATAAACAATGGTGATATTTATTCTTATTAAAGCTGTTTTAAGCCGGGCGTACACTGTGCGACTTTTTCACTCGCAGCGTTCAGCTTCAGCTCAAACTGTTCGACTTCCTCGCAGAGCAGATCTCACGAGTCATGCGCTCACACTGCACGACCCAGTTCTCAGATGCGACCTGACTGCTCACACTGTACGTCTGGTAGCAACACGTCGGCCCTAAAATATGCTAAAAATAGCAGTTTTTACACAACACGTCAGACTTTTTTGTCTTGTCTTGCCTGTTGTCCTTCGGGAGTGCTGCAGGAGGACACACAGGGATTTATGGGGGTTGGATGAGGAAACGAAATAAAGAAAGTAAATCTGTGTTTTGTGATCAGTTTAATTTGACATGAACACGACAAACACGCTTTCTTGACAATCTTTGTGAGGAAAAAAACGTGTAGAAACAAAAACGAACAGCGTGTGTTATTAGGGAAATAGCGAGCGGCGTTGATGCAGGATTGCGCATGCCAGGGACGAAATTTTGATTTCAGAAGTGGGGGGGACACAGCAGGCTTGTGCGGATTTGGGGTGGGGGGTGTTATGTAAAGACCCCTTGACACGTCACGTGCCCATCTCAATAATTTTTCCATCCTCAATATATATATATATATATATATATATATATATATATATATATATATATATCAGAGTTAAAAAATGTACAACTCTATTATTATTTTTATTTATTATCATTATTGAAGTGCAGTTTTGGCTGTTGACAATGTATTGGTCATTGTATTTATTGTTTTGGGTGTGTTTTTTTTATTGTTTTTGGTGCAACATTTTCTAACAGGGAGTGAGATTCCTTTTTTATTTAATTTTTGTTTGTTATTTTTATTCATTTAGAAGTTCTGGTTCTGGACATTTCAATGTTAAATGAAGGTTTATTTGTTGCATTTTAAAGGGTGTACTTGCATTATTATGATATATTAACATTATATTAGTGGTTATTTTGGTCTAGATAATGTTGACAATATCGTTTATCATCAACAATTTGTTGGACAAAATATCGTCCAGCAAAATGTGTTACTTTCCCAGGCCTAGTCAAAAGTATAAAAAGTATTTATACATAAACGGTCCCTCCTGAGATCTGGCCGTTTGTTCATTTGCTGTGTTAGAGGACATGCTGAACTAATGTTTTACACATGATCATCACCCTAACATTTGAGTGTATAAAAACATATTAAATATGTTTTTTCCCTTAAAAGTGTTTAAACAGTTGTTGCATTTCAACACACAAAAAATAAATGAAAAAATAAGATAAATCTAATGAAAAGTGTACATCTTTGACATTAAGCTTAAAAAAATCTGTTGACGATAATGATACTGTTCATTTTTCAGAGCTTTTTAATGTGAAAATATACATTGCAATAGATAAGTTTACAATAAAGTTAAATGATAAAAGTTTTGAAGTTACACTTCTACTACTACTAGTAATAATAATTATGATAATAGTAATAATAAAAAAATAATTATTATAATAATACGAATAAATTGTGTCTGAGGAGTCAGTTATGTGGAGGAGATGAGTTTGTAAAAGTTAGTTTTGAGTTTGTGTGTGAAGGAGGAGGTGAGTCTGAGCTTAATGCAGGGGTGTCACATGTTCCAACTTACGTTTTGACTTTGAAAGAAGTCTCTTATATCCACTTTTCGTTTTCTTGACATGCTGCCTCCTGGCTGTGCCTAACTACCAAAGACTCACAAATGAACACTTATTTAAATGTTATGTAATGGAAGCTGAGCTGAGCTCTGATATTACACAGCGTCTAGTTGACGATGTGACTCAGTACCGGTGTTCCCTAGCGGCTCCAAACTAGCAAAACAACGTGAGCACGTTCTGACTGTTTACAACTTGAGTGACAGCAGCAACAGCCAATAATACGTTAGCAAGTATCAGCAGAGCCAATAGATTAGCTTTTGGGCGGGTCTAATAGTAAACCGGTTTCCGTTTCGGTCCTAGTGCTCAAACAAATCCATTTAATGGAGCGTAACATTGTTTTTGGACGGAAAAAAGTGCAGGGGACCAAAACTGCCTTTTGAAAAAGTGGGGGGGACATGTCCCACCTGTCCCCCCCCAAAATTACGTCCCAGGCGCATGCGCCGTGAGCGGTTCTGATACTTTTTGGCCCGCAGCTGCTCGCAGCGCCGCTTCAACAGTGCGATACCCTCAAGAGGGACGAGCGAAATTTTAAACACGCCAGAAGTCCGTGCGACTTCACGACTGCTGATCGGCGGCTGGTCACGTGGTGTTAATCGCCTCTCGTAACCCCCTGTACACTACACGACCGCTCGGCGCAAAACTCGCCCCGATGTCGTGGATTCTCGCACGACTGGAAAATCGGCTCAAAAAAGTGAAAAAGTCGCACAGTGTACACCCGGCTTTAGTGAGGACAAGAACATACTTTGGAGCATAGCTCATCTGTCTGAGCCGACCTAATTTCTGTTTCAACCAGCTGAGGTTGTTCAGAAAGCTGTTAGCAAGTTAGCATTTATCACAAAGAGTGAGAGCCTTTACTTCATGGTTTATACATGCTTTTCTCCTACCTCGGGCTGTGCAGACAGAACATGTCCCTCCTTATGACGTGGTTCCCTCCATGAGACCGGTGGTGCTGGTGGGCCCGTCTCTGAAAGGTTATGAGGTGAGTTTTCTAGAAAATTACATCCAATTAAAGATTTTAAATTTTAATTATTTAACTAAGCATTATTTTTACTTTCACTGGGACAAAGCTTACTGAGAAATGTATCTCAAGATGACATCTTTGCAGTATTCCACCATTATTGGCTCTAATGACATCGAATTGTAAGAATATCACAGCAAATGAGCTAATCTAACAGCATGATGGTTCTGTAAAACCACCAAAGAGTGGAATGCAGCCTGCATTAAAGGTGTGGCTCACTGAAAAGGCATTTTTAATGATTATTTCTGAGTTGTTCACTCTGAGCAGGCTGAACATGAAATTAGACATAGAAAATAAACAGTGAAACGCTAGGATTTGAAAAGCCTGAAAATTATACGTCAAATGGTCGCTTGAACTCACCCTTCCTGGCTCGCGATGGGGAAGGCTGTTGTTGGTTTATCGTCCAGAAATCAGCATTGAATGTCTCAGCTAGCAGAAGCTAACCATTAGCGACTCATCCACACAGCAGAAGCTTCTCCAGTATTTTTAGTGATAAAACATCCATGTTGCAGAGTAAATGGAATCAGTGCTAGAGTCGCGTTGCTGTTTTCCAATCAGAGACAAGATGTCTAAACATCCTGAAATAAGACCCCACATCCTGCTGTCTGCTGCCACTCTCTGCTGCAGCAGACTTATCCGTGCTGATCCAGGAGCTTCTGGGCATTTTTTCCCCTCGAGTACAACTTGCATGGCAGTCATTCCTACCAGAGACCACTGCAAATGTAATGATTAAACGAGTGTTGAAAACCTTTAATAAACCTGTGCTTACCATGCTGTTTCCTAAAAAAAAAGCACCCACCTTACAGTGATAACCTATTTGTGATTGGCTAAAATGTAACATGGGATATTCTGATGCAGTGATTGATAAATAGTGTGTTGTGTTTCAAATGTTTATTTTGTCAGAGAAAATATCAGCAGATTAATGAGCAGCTCTTAAAATCTTCTGCTAGAACACAAGTTTTTTCTGTCAGATGTTCAATTCAAGTAACTTAAAATGAGATCTTGGATTTTTTTTATTCCACTGTCAGAGTAAGAGCTGATACTGTTATTTCTGTTTCTACTGCTGTTCACAACAGAGACTGAGTTTTATTTTAACACCTCACCCCACCAAGTATGACACAAAGTAGATTTATCAGGCCACCTTTAAGCAACATGCTTTGATTTTTTTGCAAGAATATGAATTCCGTGCCAGGTTTGTGCCAACTAGGGGTTTTAGTGAATTACGCTTTTCATCTTAAAAGATCTCAGTCTGATTTGTGTCTCGTAGGTGACAGACATGATGCAGAAGGCCCTGTTTGACTTCCTGAAGCACAGGTTCGATGGCAGGTGAGTGTGTGCTGCAGCTCATTGTGCAGTTAGACCGTCTCTGAGGTGACTGTGGTGTTCTGCCTATCGTGTTTCATGGTGGGTAGCACGCAACATGATGAGAAGGTATTTTTAGCTTGGAGAGAAAACGCGTTCATGTCATCCTTTGAAATGGAACAACTGTAGATGGGATGTGATGAGAGGCTTCTTCTTTAGGATCACCATTACACGGGTGACTGCTGATCTGTCTCTGGCAAAGCGTTCGGTGCTCAACAAGAAGGCCATCATGGAGAGATCCAACACTCGCTCCAGTCTGGGTGAGTGATCAGAACATTCTCTTTGATCTGTTCCTGCTAAATATAGACGAATAAGTGCTAAGAATAGATGGTTCCACTGTCTGAGTTTGAGGCGACTGTTTGATTTTGTTTGGCTTGTTCTCAGCGGAGGTCCAGAGTGAGATTGAGAGGATCTTTGAGTTGGCCAAAACTCTTCAGCTGGTTGTCCTGGATGCAGATACCATCAACCATCCAACACAACTCCTCAAAACATCTCTGGCTCCCATCATCGTCTACGTCAAAGTCTCCTCACCTAAAGTACTGGAACCCTTTATAAAACAATACAAACACAGATGCTTGTTTTTTCTTTTACAAGTTAAATAACAGTTACTACACTGCAAAAAATTGATTTATAAGAAAGTAAAAAAGCCTCATATTTAGGCTTTTGATTACATTAAACCTCAATCGGATTATTTGGCTAGTTTTAAGATTTCTAGCCAAGCAGTTTTTGCTTACCCCATAGGCAGATTTTTTTACTCAAAACAAGAGAATTTTCATCATATTTAAAAATAATTACCTTATTTTAAATAATACTATTTTCTAGAGAATAATTAATTTTCTTTTTAACTTAAAATTAAGATAAAATGTCTACAATTTTTTTTGCTTTCTTAGAAATCAGTTATTGTGTTGTATAACTATTAAAATGCACATTTCTAATCTAATGTGACATTTAAAAGAATTTCCTTTGTGTATTGAATTTATCCTTTTAATTGGCAGAATATGTTCAAATGTTTTTAGATCAAAAGATGTTAAAAGAGGCGACAAAAACTCAATTTTTCTGATAATGTTTGTGATCTGAGTCATATTAATTCTGATTTTTATTAGATTTGCATGTTTCTGTTTAATTGAGTCTCTGGATCATCTTGCAGGTTCTTCAGAGGCTGATTAAGTCTAGAGGGAAGTCGCAAAGCAAACATCTCAACGTGCAGATGATGGCCGGGGACAAACTGGCTCAGTGTCCTCCTGTATGTTATTCCACCTTAAGTAACTCCTTTAAAAATGAATCATGTAATAATTCTTTCTGATGTTGTAATTATATTGTCTTTTTCATAACTTGCCTCATCAGGATATGTTTGATGTAATCCTGGATGAGAATCAGCTTGAAGAAGCATGTGACCACCTTGCAGACTACCTGGAGGTCTATTGGCGAGCGACACACCTGCCTTGTGCAGCCCCGGTTAACCCTCTACAAGACCAAAGTGTGGTCACACCACCTTCAGCCAACTCCAGCCAGCAGGTACAACCACAGCTGATTTACATTTTTATAAACACTTCACTTCCTGTTTTAAATTTCATCTCTGTGTCTGCGCCAGTTTTCAGAAACTCAAGAGCTGATTGAGTGATCACAGTCACAGATGGAGGTGAGTACATTTGACTTTTCCTGATTTACAAACTGAATGTTGTAGCTTCTGTTTTCTATAACTGGCTCTACCCCTGCAGGATCAGCCTGTGCTGTCGGCTGGGCTCAGACCTTATGGCAAAGAGTCAGAAATGCCACCCGGGGGCAGCAGCAAAACCACCGCCTTCTCCAGACCTGGAGAAAAGTAAAACAAAAAAACAAGAACAGGGTCCAAGAACAAGAGAAGATGCAAATGCAAAGAGGAGGAAGATGAAGCTGCAGCGGAGGAGCCACTGGCCCACTGCTGCCCCCCTGTGGGCAGAACCATCTGCTCCCAATGCCAAGCAAGAACTCAGGGCCGCCTTCTGCAACTGCACGCACGCACGCACACACACACACGCACACACACACACACACACGCACACACACACACACACACACACACACACACACACACACACACACACACACACACACACACACACACACACACACACACACACAGGTGACAACCAGCAAAGCAGCACAGCCGTTTACCTCCCGCCCCCTCCTCACACTATTCTTCCCACCCACACCTTAAAACTGGTCCTCTCTCTCTCTCTCTCTCTCTCTCTCTCTCTCTCTCTCTCTCTCTCTCTCTCTCTCTCTCTCTCTCTCTCTCTCTCTCTCTCTCTCTCTCTCTCTCTCTCTCTCTCTCTCTCTCTCTCTCTCTCTCTCTCTCTCTCTCTCTCTCTCTCTCTCTCTCTCTCTCTCTCTCTCTTTCTCTCTCTCTGACACAAGCCAACCTGTGTATGTTCGCACAGGTCCAGAACAAACACAGGCTGATGCACTTCTCTCTGCAGACACATTACACACCTGTGTAGTAAGTCAGAACATGGTACAGTGCCGTGGCAAAAGGTGTCAGTGGAACATACGTGTTTCCAGGGCAGGGCTCTGATCCGCCTCTCTCCCCTCTGGGGTCAGGAGAGACGGAAAATCAGTTCAGTATGTCTTCCATGTCTGCAGCTTCAAGTGAGCTGTCATTCCAAGTGTTTAACCAAATGCTTTCCTAAAAGAACAATTCTGTCAGAGGACAAAAAAAAAGCACAAAGAAAACTGTTTCTTGTTCTTTTATCGATCTAAATGCTTGTTAATCCAAATAGCCTCTTAAACTGCACTGAAACAAAAGAAACTAATTATTATATTTGCTTTCAGTATAACTGAGTGATCCATGTAGATGTCATGCTAAATCATTTTATAACAAGCACAGAACATTTACACACTTTAGTCACTGCTGTGAATGTTAATTAATGCTGACTGGTTTGATCAGAGAGGAATTTACACATGAAGTGGAGGGGGTTAGAGGTTACTAATAATAATACTTCCAACACAAAAATACACAAATACAAGTCAGTAAGTCATACTTAGTTATAAATATCTTATATATATTATTAAATATAATAAATCCTGTGAATTCTTGCTTAGAAGATTGAAATTTGTTTGACAATAAATAGATGAATTTATTAGTGACAACGTTTGATTCCCACAGAAATAGAAGTCATGACAGGAATTGTTTCCTGTGGGATTTATTTTATTTAACAAATGTTTAATATTTTATAATAACTATTATAATTATATATTGTATTGCAAATCTTTAAAAATAATATGATGAAGCACAAGAAGTTCTTTATAACAAAAGTCCCAAAATAAGTTGAGCAGAAATCAGAAAATGTTATGGTGAGGGTTCTTTAATTATTAGAGACAATAATCAAATATCTGGTAATAGCAAAAATATGTGAACCTCTAAGATTTTCAGGTTATTAGAAGTTTGGAGCATTGTTGTTCTCAGTAGAATAAAACAAGAAACTATTAAAATCTGACTAGAAACTAATTATGAAACAAACAAAAAATCTGGGTTTAATGGTTGTGTTTATAAAATTATCAAAAATGTCAAATTAAAACATTTTCAGATGCAACTAAAATAAGTCTTTTATAATTCAAATGCACCAATGGTAAGGATTTCTGTTGATTTTGATTCAAAGGTTTTCTTTATTGTACATAAACGGACAAACATGGGGTTTTTACAATCATTAAGATAACTATTTAGAGAATAAGTGTGTGCTCATCTGAGTTAGTGGATGAAAATAAAATAAAATCAGTAGGTCTTTGTCGACTGACGCGTTTCTGCAATATTGCCTGGACATCAGGGGCAGTTCCACTGGACTGGCAGACCAGGGTGGTGGTGGTCCCCCCGTTTAAAATGGGAGACGCAGGGTATGTTCCAACTACAGGGGTTCACACTCGTGAGACTCCCTGGTAAAGTATTTAGGGGTTCTGGAGAGGAGAGTTCATCAGATAGTCGAACCTCGGATTCAGGAGGAACCAATGTGGATTTTGTCCTGGACCGTGGAACACAACCAGCTCTATATCCTTAGGATGGTCCTGGAGGGTGCGTGAGAGTTTACCCAACCAGTCTACATGTGTTTTGTGGATTTGGAGAAGACGTTCGACCGCATGTCTTGGGGGTACTTTGGGAGTATGGGGAGTCCTCTGATATGGGCTGTTAGGTCCCTGTATGACCGGTGTCAGAGCTTGGTCCGCAATGTCGGCAGTAAGTCGAGCTTGTTTCTGGTGAGAATTGGACTCCGCCAAGATTGCCCTTTGTCATCAATTTTGTTCATAACAGGATTTCTAAGTGCAGACAAGGCGTTGAGGGGATTCGTTTTGGTGGCCTAAGTACTAATTCTCTGCATTTTGCAGATGATGTGGTCCTATTGGCTTTATCAGAATGTGATCTCCAGCACTGGAGCGGTTTGCAAATCCGAGTCGGAAAAAGGTAGACTGCCTTCTCCGGGTCAGGGATGAGGTCCTGCCCCAAGTGGAGGAGTTTAAGTATCTCGGGGTCTTTTTCATGAGTAAGGGGAAGATGGAACGTGAAATCGGCAGGCAGGTTGGTGCCACATCTGCAGTGATGCGGACGTTGTACCAGTCTGTCGTGGTGAAGAGAGAGCTGAGTCAGAAGGCAAAGCTCTTGATTTAGACGTCAGTCTACGTTTCTACCCTCACCGTCGTCACGAGCTTTGGGTACTGATCGATAGAATGAGATCGCGGATACAAGCGGCTGAAATTAGTTTTCTCCGCAGGGTGTCTGGGCTCTCCCTTAGAGATAGGGTGAGAAGCTCAGTCATCTGGGAGGGACTCGGAGTAGAGCTGCTGCTCCTCCACATTGAGAGGAGTCAGTGGAGGTCATCTGGTTAGGAAGCTCCTGGACGCCTTCCTGGTGAGGTTTTCTGGGCACGTCCAAATGGGACGAGGCCTAAAGGAAGACCCAGGACACGCTGGAGGGACTATGTCTCTCGGCTGGCCAGGGAACACCTTGGGGTTCCCCGAAGGAGCTGGCCCAAGTGGCTGGTGCTTAGGCTGCTGCCCCTGCGATCCGACCCAGGATAAGCAGCTGAAAATAGATGGAAAACAGAGTGGGTGTTTAATTTGCCTCCATCATTTGCTGTTAATAACAAAAAGTATTGTAAGCACAGAAATACAAAAGCTTTCCTCTTGTTAAACTAATGACTTCATCTTCTCTGCCACACATGTAAATAATCTACTGTATGTGCATGACATATTGTACTCCTGTCACATCAGAAGGGCTTCTAGGATCATCTTCACTTGAGCAGTCACTTGTAGGAGTAAATAAAACTAACACATGTGTGTTACCATGGTTACAAGCTGTGTAAATAGTGTCCATGGTTATTATTTATAAAAATTCCCCAAAAAGCTGCAAACTCTGACAAAAACTTTAAAAGTTTTGTCACAGCACACATCAGACCAACAGCTTCAAAAGCATGCGTTTCTATGTAAAATCCTCTTTTTTTAAATGATGCACCCTAATTTAAAGTAATCTTCACCCACAGCCACTTTTAAAGGATCAGGTGTGATTTATAACTTCTACCCAATGAAACTCAAAGAGCACGCCACCTCCTTTAGATAAACGGCTTTTAAAGTGACAATGTGTAGTTTTTGCCATTAATTTCTGGAAGTGACATGTTGTTGTAAATGAATTAAAAGATACTCAGTTGTTGAAAAATATTGGCGGTTTCATAAAACATAACCATAAAAATCGGGTCTAAACTACATGAGAGCAGGTCTAAGTCTCTGGGTGACGCCATATTGGATGCCATGCTTCCTTCTGCGGAAGCCCGTGAGGACAGAATGCATTAACTGATTTGTATTAGTTACAAAACTTTACCATTAATAAATGTTGTTCTTTTACACATTTACGTCTTCACTCATCGCAAGGGAAGAAAGGGAATCTGATGTTTTTATTATTTTGCTGGAGGAAGCTTTCCCAAGGATTTTGACCCTAATGACCATCTGTTGGTAAGGTCTTACTTGAACACAAAAATAATGCTTGTTTGCAATGATTTAGGTATCTACTGCCCCCTATTGGCAGGTAAAATACACACTGTCACTTTCACATAGCATATTCTCTGTTGCTTGATTTTCTACAGAAAGCAAACTAGTCTTTCAATATCCAAAAGCACAATTTTTATAATTTTATTTTTATTATTGCATTTCACTCAGGATGCAATATGACGTTGAGCATTGACAAGACACTCGCTGAGGCTATGGAGATGTCTCCTGGGGTGGTGGTGGGGTATAATTGCACTACTATAATTTCTCTGTATGCTTCTCGATGCAATAAACGCACTAAAGCTATGCTGTTCTTACCTCATTGTGAACAAGCAGCCTGGTCTGCTCCTGGTTTCTGACTGCTTAACAAGACAAATGATCCAACACTGTCTGATGATGATGATGACGATGACGATGACGACGATGATGATGACGATGATGATGATGATGATGATGATGATGATGATGATGCACATGAAAAGTGGCTTTGTCAACAGCACATGTTAAGGATGGAATAAACAAAAACATTGAAATAACTTTGTGTGAAGTCTCATAAATTCAGCAGGGTAAAATTATTATTATGAATCTATGGGATATTTAGTGCACTGATTAAATAATAAATGCATGAAATGAAAATATTCAGATTAAAATTGGGTTCTAAAAATGTGTGTTTACCCAAATTGCAAGAAATAAATTAGTTGCGTGTGTCTTAGATTGCAAATATTTTATTTGTTTGCAACCGGGATAAGTGGAGTGCGACTAGGGTGGTCCTGGAGGCAAAAACCTGAGCTACTGGCCTCAATTCCGGATGTTGTGAATCGGTGGACGGAATACTTTGAAGACCTCCTCCCACCAGCATGTCTTCCAGTGCGGAAGCGGAGTCTGGGATCTTTGGCTTGGGCTCTCCAATCTCTGGTGCTCACGTCACTAAGGTGGTCAAAACGCTCCTTGGTGGCAATGCTCTAGGGGTGGGTGAGATACGCCCAGAGTTCCTTGAGGCTCTGGATGTTGTGGGGATATTTTGGTTGATGCAGCTCTGCAATATCGCAGATTTTGGAGGAACAATATGGTTTTCATCCTGGACTGTGGAATGCTGGACCAGCTCTCCTTAGGGGGGTCCTGGAGGGCTTGTGGGAGTTCCCCCAGCCAATCTACATGCATTTTGTGGATTTCGAGAAGGTGTTTGACCGTACCCCTCAGGGGCTCTGTGGAGAAGGCAAAGCTCTTGATTTACAGGTCGATCTACCTGTTCCTAGCCTCATATGGTCACGAGCTGTGGGTGTTGACTGAAAGAATGAAATCACAGATACAAGTGGCTGAAATGAGTTTTCTCCACAGGGTGTCTGGGCTCTCCCTCAGTGATAGGGTGAGAAGCTCAGTCACCTGGGAGAAGTTCTGAGTAGACCCACTGCTCGTCCACATCACGTAGCCAGTTGACATGGCTCAGGCATCTGGTTAGGATTTCTCCTGGATGCCTCCCAACATGTCCAACTGGGAGAACACCTAAAGGAAGACACAGGAGGGACTATGTTTCTCAGCTGGCCAGGGAATGCCTTAGGATTCCTCCGGATGAGCTGACCCAGGTGGTTAGGGAGGGGGACGGCCGGGCCTCTCTGCTTAGGCGGCTGCACCTGTGACCCGACCCCAGATAAGCAGAAGAGAGTGGATGGCTCAATGTTTTTCCCTCCAATTTTTCTGCTGTTTCTGAAATATCCTTGTGTGTTGGTTTTAAAATGTATAAGTGGTTTAATAATTTGGACAGAGAGAGCATATATGATCTTACACGACCAAACTGATGACCTCTTTAAATGTAGAGCTGTGGTTTTAGAGTTTCAGAGCTGTGTCTAAATGCTGAAAACATGCTAAGTCTTCACATTCCTCTAGTGCCTATGTGGTGTCCCTATCCATCAGATCAAAACATGCATGCATGCAGGAGTGTGTGTGTGTGTGTGTGTGTGTGTGTGTGTGTGTGTGTGTGTGTGTGTGTGTGTGTGTGTGTGTGTGTGTGTGTGTGTGTGTGTGTGTGTGTGTGTGTGTGTGTGTGTGTGTGTGTGTGTGTGTGTGTGTGATTGACTGGTGATTTGAGCAGGTCACATTGAAAGATGCCTCTTTATGCCTGATGCTTATTCACGGCCATCTGGCTCTCCCTCAGAGGGGATACGGGGTTTCCTGAGGCTTCCAAATAAATGCTGCAGATATTTTTGAGAGGTTACGGGAGGTTCATTGTTACTTTTCACTGCTTTTATCCTTGAAAACATGTAAAAAGAAAATATGGATGAAGAATAAGGAATAAAACTAGTTGTTCAGGATCACAAAGTGCAGTGCAATAAGAATCCTGTTATAAAACTTTCATCATGGTTTCGTCTCACTCTGTGTGGTATTTGACGATGAACAATTCATTTATTTATAACTCATTCAATTGGCAGCTCTTTGTGAACAAAAGTAAATTGCCCTCACTTTGTTGTGATCAACAATATAATGCAAATTGAACAGGAAAGGGAAGCTGCTTGACTTTTATCTTTATTTATGCCTTTCGTTTACAACCACATTTATATCCAGTAAAACCCTTCTGGCTGTCTAACGGTCTCCAGGGGTTTAAGCAGCCAAATGTCACAAATAATGGGCATCAGCTGGAACTCATCCTGATGTTGTAGCAAAGTGGTGTTATAATAATCAGAGTGGCATGATCAGCAATTTAAAGAAAAAACTTGGATCTCACACAACAAGCTATCAATTACATTTACTGCTGTTTATCATGTTTGGGATAGAGCTGACTTGTGACTTGTTTAAATAAAACTACCTTAAGTATAAATGAACAGTCGTGTCTGCAGCTCTCTCTTGTGGTACATTGGGGATGTTGCAATTTCACTTTTCAATGATTTCACACAAGCAGCAAAAAAGGGAAAGAAATCTCATTTTTACATCAGTGGGGGTGCTTAAAAGTCCCTGTTTGCTGTACTATAGTGAAGAAAAAATAAAAAGTACACAACAAGAACAAGAAATCCTCCTGTTTACAAAGTGCACTTTAAATAAATTGTATTAGTAGGTGTTGGTGCCACAAATGCATACAAAGTAAAACACACTTAAATGCAAGTTACTATAAGGCAAGCCAGTACAGTGTACATAGACATTTGCTTACTTTTTACAACTGCTTAAGTATAAACAACTCAAAAATACAAGTTCAGTAAGTACAAGTACTACGTACTACTCAGAGGTGTGACCAAGTCACTGCTTTGCAAGTCACAAGTAGTCACAAGTCTTTCCAGTCAAGTCTCGAGTCAAGTCCAAGTCAAAGACAATCAAGTCCAAGTTGAGTCCAAAGTCAATGACGTGGAAGTCCAAGTCAAGTCTAAGTCCGTAACTTTGATTTTTCAAGTCATAATCAAGTCATCTATCCAACTTCAATTTAATTATAATGATAATAAATCAATTCCAGAAATAAAGCTTCTTAAACTTAATTTATTTGCTCAAACAAGCAGAAAGTGCAACTGAAACTGATTATAAACAAAGTGCTGCTGCATTTAGCAGTACAAGAACCAAGAATGATTAATGATTTTTGTCCGTGTCGTGCCACTTTTGTGCTAAAATATCAAATATGCTCAAGTCATCATCAAGTCAACAGATGCAAGTCGATTCAAGTCGCAAGTCATTGCCGTTCAAGTCTGAGTCAAGTCGTAAGTCTTTATAGATTTTATCAAGTCAAGTCTGAAGTCATTAAAATAATTTCTTGATTCTGACTCGAGTCCGTCATGTGACTCGAGTCCACACCTCTGGTACTACTTAATCTTAGTTAACTTGCATTTGAATGCATTTAACTTTGTAAGTTTCAGTGGCTCCCACTCAAAATTACTACTTGTTGTTTTATGTGCAATTGGGTGCCATGTTTGTTTCCAGTAAGGTTAACTAATACAAATTTACAGTGTAGCATTAGAGTGAAGGGAGACAAGATGGCCGCTGGACAGGTGTGCCTGTGAGAGGCTCTCCAAACAATTTAAGAAGATTCTATTTAAAAGTGCTTGGAATGATGAAAATTTGTGTGGAAATCCTCTGAAACCAAGACCTTTTACTGCAAGTTGATTAATTTATGACTGGAGCTGTGGAATATGCCAAAACCAAGGCAAAAGCAATCCTCCAAACAAATGGAAGAAGGTGCTCACAAACAAATGGAGAACAATCAACTGGAATCAGCTGAGGACATGACACCAACTAAATCTTCAGGTATGGCTGAAATACTCAAAGAACTGAGAGAATTTCGAACTGAAACATCAGCCAGCTTTGGAGCATTAAAAACAGAATTGAATGAGCTACGAGCAGATTTCACGAGCATCAAAAAAAGAATGGAGGAAGCTGAACAGAGAATTGTTGAGAGTGAAGACTATGCAATGAAAACCTCCAATGTGTTAATACAAGTGGTTCAGATGCAAAAACAACTAGAAATGAAATGTGAGGCACTTGAGAGCCAAGCTCGCAAAAAAAATATGAGAATCTACTCTGTACCTGAGGGTTGTGAAGAAAATAACATCATTGAGTTTGTGAACAAACTGGCCCGTGAAAAACTGGATGTGATTGATGATTTGAATATTGAGAGAGCACATCGTGTTGGGCCAAAGATGGGACAAAGGGAGCGCCCCAGAGCAATCTTGGTTCGATTCCAGTCATACGCCATGAAACAGAAAGTATTGGAGGCTGCTTGGAGAAAAAGGAATGTTCAAGTGACAGACCAAAGGATTTATTTCGATGAGGATTTTACAAGCGCTGTGTTCAAGGAGCGGGCTAAATACAAGGAGGTGCGGAAAATACTCAATGAAAGAAAAGTGAAGTCACGGATCTTGTTTCCAGCGAGACTGAAACTCTTTTGTGGAGATGGAAAAGTGAAGGTGTATAGTGACCCCCATGCTGCTGCTATTGGACTACGTGAGTTTGGAGTAAACATGAATATTCCAGAAGAGGTTCCCGATCTGGAATCAACGCTGAGGAGCGCAGGATGGGAGTCAGTTCATGCTCAACGGAGAACAAGCCCTGGTCATGAATTGATTAAAGGAGTCAACACTCTTCTGAAAAGTCACAAGAGTTGAGGTACTTTTGTGAAAAATAGTTGATGGCAAATTCTGCTGTAAAAACTCTGAAAAGATTTGAAGTTACTGAATATAACACACTTGACTATGAAAACAATATTGATCCAGATGGTAATCTGTTAAATACAATCAATGATAACTGTAAATATTACACAAATGATCAGTTTAATAGTTCTGTAGATTTAGGTCATTTCTCACTTATCCACATTAATTGTAGAAGTCTTTACGTTAGTTTTGACCAAATTAATGCATATATGAAAACATTTAAGCACCAATTTGAAGTGATTGCTTTATCTGAAACATGGTTAAATGAAGAAAAGGGTACAGATTTTGATATGGTAGGGTACCATTTGTTTTATACAAACAGAGGAAAGAAAAAAGGTGGAGGGGTTGCACTGTACGTCAAAAGTGCCTTGAAGTGTAAAATACTGGACTCCATGGCAGTAGCTGTGGAAGATATGATGGAATGTGTAGCTGTTGAAATAGAAATGGAAAAAACTAGAAACATTATAGTAGCCTGTATATATAGAACACCTGGCTCCAATTTACAATGTTTTAAAGAAAGATGCGAAACTCTCATAGATGGATTAAATGACAACAAATCCTGGTTAATATGTGGAGATTTCAATATTGATTTACTTAACCAGAGAAACAAAATGACTAGAGACTTTATGGATGTGATGTCCAGCAGGAGTTTATATCCTGTGATCACTCAGCCTACTAGAATCACCAGTACCTGTGCTACATTAATAGACAATATTTATACAAATGAAATTGAGAAGACAGCTAACAGTGGTCTCCTAATTAGTGATATAAGTGATCATCTACCAATTTTTATAATACATAAAAATGCATTCAAAAAACCTAAGGTGTTAGATCAGATAAAACATGTTAGAATAAGGACAGAGGATGCTATAACAGCATTTTGTAATGACTTGTTGAAGGAGAACTGGAGTGGGGTTTATGTGAAGGATGTGAACGTGGCATATGATACGTTCTTAAAAACATATAAATCTTTATATAATAAGAACTGCCCTGTAGTTGTCTGTAGAAAAAAGATAAATATGAATGTAGAACCGTGGTTAACTAAGGGACTACTAAAATCTTGTAAAAGGAAAAACAAATTATACAGAGATTTTGTCAGATACCGAACCAAAGCCACAGAAATGAAGTACAAAATATACAAAAATAAATTGACATCATTAATAAGACAAGCAAAAAAAGATCATTATAATTTAAGGCTGAAGGAAAGCATAGGTGACATGAAAAGAACATGGAGAATTCTGAATAGTGTCATAAGATCCAGGTCTCAGCATGCCCGTTATCCAGATTTCTTTACTAACGGAGATAGGATCTTGAGGGATAAAGCTGAGGTGGTAAATGAACTTAATTCATTTTTTGTAAACATAGGACCAAGTTTGGCCAAATCTCTGGAAACACAAACTAATGAAGCTGGAAAAATACAAAGAGGGAGCAAAATTTTACAGTCTATGTTTTTAGGGGATGTAAGTGAAAATGAAGTTTTGACGATAGTTAGGAAAAGTAAAAATAAAACATCCACAGACTGTGACGGGATTGACATGATGATTGTAAAGAAAACTATTGATTATGTTGTCAAACCATTCACTTATATCTGTAATTTGTCTGTTCAGAGTGGTACATTTCCAGAAAAAATGAAAACTACAAAAGTAATTCCAATTTTTAAAAATGGTGATAGACATAAGTTTGATAATTATAGACCAATCTCAGTGCTTTCTCAGTTTTCTAAAGTGCTTGAGAAATGGTTTGTTCAGAAACTAGATAACTTTATTGAGAAGGAAAACCTCCTGAGTGAGAGTCAGTATGGGTTTCGATCACATAAATCTACATCCCTGGCTTTATTGGAATTAAATGAAGAACTTTCATCAGCAATAGAAAAAAAACAATATACAGTGGGGTTGTTTATTGATTTAAAAAAGGCATTTGACACAATAGATCATAGTATTTTACTCTCCAAGCTGAGGGATTATGGGATACGTGGAATCGCCCATGACTGGTTAAGTAGTTATTTGACCAATAGAAATCAATTTGTACAGTTAGATGATGAAATTTCAGATTCACTAGAGATTACACACGGTGTCCCACAGGGGTCAGTGTTGGGCCCTAAGCTTTTCATTCTATATATCAATGACATTTGTGATGTGTCCAAAGTATTACAGTTCATATTGTTTGCTGATGACACGAATATATTTTGTTCTGGAAATGATTTAGAAATTATTATTCAAAATATGGTTTGTGAAATGTCTAAACTTAAGAAGTGGTTTAATGACAATAAATTATTTCTCAATTGGAATAAAACAAAATTCATGGTTTTTGGTAACAGAAAAACTAATGATTTAGTTACATTGTCTATTGATGGTTTTTTAATTGATAGAGTAAATGAAGTCAGATTCTTAGGGGTTCTCTTGGACCATAAACTTACTTGGAAATCCCATATAAAATATATAAAACAAAAAATATCCAAAAGTATTGGAATTTTAAACAAAGTCAAAGGTTTTCTAGAAATTACAACGCTTCAGACATTATATTACTCATTTATCTTCCCATACTTAACTTATTGTATTGAGGTTTGGGGCAATACATACAGTATAAAACAAACACTAATCCTTTGTTTCTGTTACAGAAGAAAGTTCTGCGAATTCTACATAAAGCAAATCCAAGAGAACATACTAACAAATATTTTGTTCTATCTAAAATTATGAAATTCAAAGACTTAGTTAACTTGAAAATTTTACTAATTATGTTTAAGGCTAGAAATAATTTGCTGCCAACTAATCTACAAAGGTTCTTTGTTTTAATCCCAAAAATGATAAGAGTAGAAAGAAACCAGAGTTTAAAAGGATATTTGTTCGTACTACATTAAAGCAAACGTGTATTTCAATATATGGTGTGACATTGTGGAATAACCTGGATGATGAATTAAAAAAATGTGCAACTACTGATCAATTCAAAAAAATGTATAAAGATAAAATGCTAAAATCGTATGATTTGGTAAGTTGAGGATGGAGGATTAATGTTTTAGTAGTGATATTATTTGTGGAAGTAAGAGAGCGGTTTATTTTTTGTGTATAAGGCTATTTTGTACTTTTTGTTATTTATCTTGTCTTAGTTAAAGGGGGTAGGTCATATAAGATTTTTTCTTCTTCCTCCCCCTATTTCACTTGAATGCTTATATTCTGATTTGAAGTTTGTATATTTAAACTTTGAGTGAAATAAAGAATTGAATTGAATTGAATTGAATTGAAGAATCGTAGCACATCCAAAGCAGGAAGTTAGCATAGAATTTTGGAATGTATATTTTTTAATTGATCTGTTCAAAAAGTTTTAATTGTCAGTCTACAACAGCCTGATGGAGACAGTTCCAGAAAATCCTAGAAATGCAGTTGGAGGCCTCATAAAATCTGTCTGAAGCCCGGACCACATTGTAGGTTTTTCGGCTGTCGCACAGGACTGCTCGTGTCGCAGTGTGAGGACTCCAGAAAGGTGGCTCTCAGTACGGTCCAAGATTTCAGCGAGCCAAACTGCACAGTGTCTCATTCCAGCAGGGTGTGCTAGTGTCCCCGCCCAAAAAGCATATATCACAAAAAGTAGACAGCTAACCTAAGCAATGCTGAAAAGAGACAAGAGCATTGCCGTCAACACTTCTTTTATTGGGCTCCAAATCCAAACTCCAAAAAGGAGCGGTCCACGTGTTTGTGCGTGAAGCATCCACTGCTGCTAATGTTGCTAATGCTACTTTCGTATTGTATTCCCATCACTAGCTGATCACGTCAATCCCTGTGTGTATTTTCAGTGGTTGATTGCAGACGGGAGTCATAGGTTATCAAGCAGTTGTTGAAGACTGTTGGAGGCTGACTTTGGTTGTGAGGGTGCTCAATAAGCTGTCACAGGGCCGACACACTGGACGGCCACAGACTTCCAAGTCACCCTCACGATTCTGCTCACGACAAGAGATTTGTCAAGGACGGCCAAAATTCGCAAACTGTGGTCCTGGCTTTAGGGCCTCAAATGGCCCCTGGGCCACTTCTTGATTATACCTACTCTTATACCCGCATTAAGTGCCTTTCAGAGGCACTGCCTTACATTTTACCCGATAAGCATCCAGGTAATGAAAACAAGTTAAAGTCATGCTAAATACGTTTTCACGTGTAAAGTGCTTGTTGACATCTAAATCTAAATGTGAATGCACTAGTTAACCCATTGTTAGATATCATAAAATACAAGTACCAAAATAAAATGAGACCCCCATATCAGATCTTAGAGCCTCTTTAATAGTGAGCTCTGAGTGGTGGATGATTGATCAGTGAGCAGAGAGAACAGTAGTCTTACCACCAGTGCATGTTACAGGGGATCATTTGTGTTATTTCGATTTAGTTTTTTATACTTTTATTTTGAGGGGCTTCACTTTTCCAAATCACTGCTAAATATTTTATGTGAATGATGTGATTCTTAATTATGAGCGTTTTTAACAAACGCTGTCTGCGTTGTGTCTGAAGTTCAGAGCATCTCAGTGGATGCTGGACAAGCCTGTAGAAAGGAGCGCTCCTATTGGCTGCTGCTCGCCTGTTTTAAGAGCCGCAGTGGCAAATTCAATCAGATCAACTGCGGGCATCTTCCGACGGACCGACGTGGGGACGGTTTATCACACCGGGACCATCTCTGGGCTTTTCTGCTGCTTGTTCTGTTTTCCGCGCGTTCTACAGAAAATACTGGAGCGTTTTGTTGCATCATGAAGGAGCGGAGAAACATACAGCCACTGGTGGTGAGGTGTAAACTGGTTCTAGTGGGAGACGTTCAATGCGGTAAAACGGCGATGTTGCAAGTGCTGGCGAAGGACTGTTACCCAGAGGTACACCTCCTCCAATGCGACTCTTTTATGAAAAATACACCCACATGGGGCATTTTTAATTATTTAGTCGAGAAGAGAATATTTAAATATCTGGTAAAATGATCAGTGCAGAATGTGTCCGTTTTAATGCGCATTTTTTTTAATGTGCGTCTTTTGGTTCATGTATTGCCCAACTGAATATTAAAATTAATGTAAATGACCAAAGCATCCATATCGCTAGATTTTAATCTTTTGTAGAGATTATTTTAATAGTGACTGGAATCGAAAATGTCTCATTTAAGGAGATATTTTAATGCACCTTCATACCTTCATCCATCAAAGTAAACAACTTAAGCAGCTTGCAGCTGACCGACACCTTCCTGCTAATGGCATCCTGTTACTAATTGCTCCCATGCAGACCTATGTGCCCACGGTGTTTGAAAACTACACAGCCTGTCTGGAGCTGGAGGAGCAGCGAGTGGAACTCAGTCTGTGGGACACCTCAGGTAACAAATTTTCATTTTAACGTGACTCTGCTGATCCGACTGCAACACAGATGGTGCTTACAAGGTTTTTGTCTTTGTCCTGATCAGCTTGGATAAATGACAGTAGTTGCAGCAGACAGGCCTCATGAGCAGCCACTGTAAGTCTGTGCTTGTTCCACCAAAAGTAATAAACAAAGATGGTCATTATTCCAGTTCACTTGCCATTAATGGTGACTTTGTTCATCATATGTTCATTTACACTTAGCGTGAAAAACAGGGTCAATGTGCCTTTGTAGGTCTCTCAGGAGATGTGCTGTTTAGTGTGTTGACCTGAATCCTGCCATGCCGGGTCTGCAGCACCTGTTAGATCCCGCTCATCCTCGCCGTCCACTCTGCATCTATCTGCGCTTTTATAGGTCACCGTGACAGAGCACAAGTGTGTGCCTGTTTTTGCATGTCACGTACATCTGTGTACAGCAAATCCTTTATATAACAGATCCACTTGTACGAGACGATGCAGCATTTACGGCATGCTCATGTTTTCACCCCTCCCCTCAGTCACAACAGAGGAGGGTGGGAGGAATTGGTTTCGGAGCAGCGTAATTCCTGCCCCAGACCAAATGCTGGTTTTAATCCCAGACTGTGGACCTTTGGTCCATCCAGCCGTGAGTGGGCCTGGTGCCCAGAGATGAAGGCTCCACAGAAAGACATCCTATTGAGCAGGAAGGTTTTCTGGAGCAGACAGATAGGAGGGAGCAAAGAAACTGTGGTGACCTGCATTCTCCTCCATATGCTGCCCAGGTCACCCACTCAAAACACACCATTCAAGGGATTAGGACTCTGAATGGGCCCTTTAACTGAGTTTTTCTTTCTTTTCTTCCATAAAAAGTATATTTTTAACAGATATCTGCAGATAGAATTAAGGATGTAGGACACTAAAAACCCATTTTTTAATGATAATTCCTGATAATAACCAGTCAATCTGAGTTTTTCGTGCAGACTGAACATGAAAATAGTCTCCTACATCTGTCTCCTGCATCAGCTTCTGATAGAAAGTTGATGGTTAAACGCTAGGATTTGAAAAGCCTGACTGAACGACGTCACACTAGCCCTTTTTGGAAGACACCATGCTGGCAAATTAGTATAATATCAGCTGCCACAGTGTGTCTTATGAACATGCCATGGAGGCATGGCATTGTGGGAATTTAGCAGCATTCATGCTTGGTAGTAAAATTGCCACAAATGCATATTACGCCTTGGCACAACAGAGGAAGGTGTCATGGTCATGTGGGGAATTACTGCCGAGCTCCGGCCGGCAGCTATAATGAAAATGCAGTAAACACAGGCCGTAAGTTTCACTTTTGTAAACAGAACCAGCTGAGATGATAAACTGAAACGATGCGGCGCTCCAGGAGCTTCTCTCTGTTAGAGCTGGAGCACATCATCTCAGACGGTTCAGGGACTGAGTGACAGCCACCTTTTGGCTTGTAAAAAAACCCGTAATGAGCGTGGATTTGATCACAATAAAATGCCTGTTATGTCCAAGTTAAACAGAAGTACGCGGCAGTGCAGAGACTGCCCCGATACCCCCTTTATACAACCATCGGGTAATGTTTTGTAAAAAGGCCATGATCGCGCCACATTACAGCCACGGTCTGACCACTTATAAACAATGTCAAGCTCCCCGATGCCGACTCGGCGTTGCGGCAAGTTGGTAGCATTGTTTTCTAAAAGAGGGTACCGTCACCTAACATTCTTGGACTCACCCCTTTTGACTCACAATGGGGAAGGCTGTTGTTCTTTTAATTCCAGGGAACAGCAGAAGACACCTCAGCTAGCAGAAGCTAATCATTAGCATTATCATCTTCACCACACAGCAGAATCTTCTCCAAGCTTGTGTTACTTGGAGAGATAAAATATGCAGGTTGCAAGTCAGTGGTAGAGTTGTGTTGTGTAGCGTGATTAATGATTAACATTATCACTACATATTAATTATGACCAATAAGATGTGATGTTTCCATATAAATATAAAAAATCAACCTGATTGATGTTTGAATGTTTAATCAGAAGATTCTAGTTACTTTTACTTGTTCAAGGACCCTAAATACACTTCGTATTAATTCAGACAGAGTCAAGTATAGTTTATAAAATGAATTTAATTCTTTTCTTAAACTAATAATTATTCATGACAAGATATGTGGTGTTGTGGATGTGAGGTGATGTAATGGAAGCTAGATGTTTAGCAAAACCATTCTTTGTATCTGAGAGAAATTGTGAAATCTGGGTGTAAAATAATTTGTTGTTTGGTTCTAAACTAGAGAGTTGGTTTTTGATAAAACCATCAGACGCAATCTGTCATGCCAAGTCTGCGCACCCTTTGTGTGGAGGTTCTCATTCGATCCGGGGGGTCATGTGGGTCACTGCTGGTGGAGTGAACCTCTGATTTCAGGAACCCATAGATAGCTCAGATAGGACCCGTCCAGTCTGAGATCCCTCCAGGTGAAGGCAGGAAGTTGGAATGCTTATTTGTGTCCAAGGTGGATGTCTGACAGTTGAAGTGGCTCTGAAAAGAGCTGTTTGGCTGTATCAGCTTGCAGCGTCACAGAGAGGCTTTTAACTGTAGGTCCATTATCCAATCCGGGACGAGATGTCCAAATATCAGTAAATAAGACTCCAAATCCTGCTGTCTGAAGCTCAGCTGTGATGTGGGTCATTACTAGTTCCTTGAAATGGTGCACCGGTGTTTTTTACCCCCTGAGTACGACTTACAAAGCCTTCATTCCTACTAGACAACTGTAAATATATTGATTAAACGAGTGAACATACCATTAACATTTTTGATGCTATGCATTTTTTCTGTTATGGACGTTTCCTACAGGCTCTTGCTAGCAGAAGATTTGTTGATTCTACTGTACGGTTTCCTCTGCTCACTGTATTTATTTTAATTGTGTGTAGTTATGTAGCTGCGGGTCCTCCGCTCCCCACCCCAGACAGAGCGTCTCCTCATTATCTTAGCTCCCCTTCATTGATTGAACTGACCTCATCACAGGCTCCAAATGGCAGCCAGCTCCTTCCCTCAGCTCCACCATGGATTTACAGACTAAAATCAATCCCTGGCTTTTAATCAGCCTGATCCGATCGGACATGAAAATAGGAGAAAGAAAAGAGGGGAAAGTGAACAGGGTCCCACTCATGAATAGTTAATGATGAATCTCATTGTGATGTTGGTGACTAATTTCTGGTTCAGTGATCTTGTTGATAAGGATGTTGAGTTAGAGAGAATGCTGCATAAATACTAATTAAATGTATCATATCTTCTGAATGAACTCAGTAGGTATGTGTATTGGTGAAATTCTGGCAATATAATGCATATCACTATACAGGGGAGATGATACGATATTCACGATATATTGCGATATATTCAGCCAGACGATATTAGCGAATTTTTAGACTGAATTTATTGTTAGGAAAATTCAATAAACAGTCCAAACTTATACTTAACTTGTTTATCATGTGGTATCTGAACCATAATAGAGGGATTTACATTTCAGTGGTGGAAACAAAACCCATTGCACACTGCTGTCAACTTGCGGTTGGTGTTGGAATTGCACCAAAAGAAAAGAAAATACACAAATGTTTGCACGTAAATTCTTCCATAAATTTGATACACAGCTTTTGAATATCAGTATAATAACGCAGGGAAAATTAATCACAATGTATTGCCATATTGATGTTTTCTTACATCTCTAGAACACAGTATCGTTTACCCGCAACGTCTTTGTTGATAAGAATCATCCAGACAAATTTGAAACTCGTTTATAAATAGGTGCAATGATCAATGAAAAAATTCTGAGTTTTTGTTCAATTTAAGACAGAATAAAAAAAATAAACACGGGGCGTGCAGGATTGAGATGAGCTTAGTTTGTTTTAATATCACTAGACATGTTGTGAATGCTGACTAATGCATCCCACTGAGCTGAGTGTGAAGCTCTCACTATGTGGTGTCATCCTGGCAACAGGAAATGGTGTTATGTAAAAATAGCATTCACAAATAGCTGCTGTTTCTTTTTTTATATATTAAAAATCTATCTGCAGGATTAAAGATAAAGACTTTGCTGTTCTCTACTGATACTCAGATACACCAGACGGAGGAGGAATCAAGTAGTAGAAGACAAATAAAGTGGTGTCATGATGTGACTCAGATTTGGCTTTTTGCCAAAAATAAACAAAAAATTAATCATATTCTTTGCTTCTTTATATTAAACTAGTTTGAAGTTCTAATAACGGTCATTGTGGAGCATTTTCTGATTAAAAACTAATATTTAATTTCATGCAAACATTTTAACAAGACACTGTGTTGCCAAATCTGCATTAAAGCCATACTTTGCAACTTTTTCATACTTTTAAATAATTTTCTTGAGCAGTCCGAGCTAAAATGACTGTTTACTGGGTTAATAAAAGGCCACCCAACCCCTATCGCCCCCTGTGGCCAGAATTTTCCACTAGAATTTCCCAATGGCCACCCCTTGAAAATTTATATATATATATATATATATATATATATATATATATATATATATATATATATATATATATATATATATATATATATAAGCTGATACAGCCAAACAGCTATATATATATATATATATATATATATATATATATATATATATTTATATATTATTATTATTATTTAAATAAATTTTGAAATAACATTTTAAATTACTGAAATTAGTTTTTCTGAAATGTTTGTGTTTGTTAAATTTGAGTTAAGTGTTTTGGATACATTTAAAATTTTTATTATTATTTTATAGATATATATATAGATATAGTTTTGAATAAAACGAATAAAGGAGCACTGCAGTGCTTTGCCACGGGCTAAACTCTCCGAGAGATACTACAAGGACCAGTTTGGTGTGCCATCCCAAAAATTTCTTTAGCCACGTCTGGCCACCCTTATCAAATTTTCTGGAGGCATCTCTGACGTTTCCTGCATGTTTTTGTCATGGTCTGCGTCTGCCCCCTCCTTTATGTGTCTCCTAATGTTTCTCCATTCCTCTCTGGGTTCCCTTTTGTGTTCTCTTAGCACCCTCTTGTGTCCTTTGTCTGCATCTCTGTTATGTGTCTTATGTTGTAGCCCTTTAGCGCCCTCATGTGTCCTTTGTCTGCATCTCTGTTATGTGTCTTATGTTGTTACCTTTTCTAATCTTTCCTCCCAGGTCAGCTCCAGCCTCTTTGTCCCCAGCTCAGTGTGTGTGGTTATGTGTGTGTGGGTGTATGTGCTATGTCCTCCTCCAGCTAGTTTGTGTGAGCCCTTCCCTCTGTCTTTAGGTAATTGTTGTTTAGTTTTGTGTTTAGGTATTTGACCTCCTCTGTTTCTGTTTTCCCCATTGAGATAATTATTGTCACCTGCCTTCCCTCCAGCCCTCACTCCACACACCTGCTTCCTGTTTCCTTAATTGGTCTCCCAGTCTATTTAAGCCCTGTCTTGTCTTTGTCTTGTGTCGGTCCATTGTATGTGTATTCTGTCAGTGTTTGCGCGTGCTCTTGGTGAGCTTGTTTCTCCAGTGTTGGAGTTTTGGACTCTAGGCTTGCTGCCTGGATTTATTTTGTTCATCCTTCAAGAATAAAGGATTTTACTTTTCATCATCTCCTGCCTCGTGTCATCCTGGGTTACTGTACATTTGGGTCCTAACATCCTCAGAACGTGACAGTTTTAGATCATGAACCCATCTGATTTGTTTAATTTAGTGACGAATCACTCCTGTAGACACTTAGACTGGGGAGACATTTAGCCTAACTCAATTTAATTTATTTCTGTTTACTAGCTAAATTATCCCCTGCAGCTAAATGTATCTCTTCTGGTGCATTCAGGGATCACTTGTGGCAGGAACTTCAAATCTCTGCAAAAATACCAGTGATGATGACTTTTAACAAATAGATTGTTGTCAAAACTACAGCTTTTTTAAGATGGCAAAGTTTGAATATGTCACAGATCATTGTGCTTTGTATTGATTTGCATCTGTTTTAGTTGTAGTTTATTTAGGTAAATAAATCAAAGAGGATTGTAGACTCTTCTGTTAGAAAGTACTGCAGTCTGTAATGCCATTGATGCATTCAGGAGCCCTTGGCCTCAGCTGTACATAGACTAGCTGTTAGCTCATCTGTTCTGTCAGACAAACTCGTTTTCTCTAAATTTAGGTCATTCAGGAAGCTAGATCCAGCAATTATACCTTTTACACAGAAATACACTTAAACGTGGTCAAAATTAATTACTTGAGCACCAGTCCTTGTTCAGCCATTAACATTGTGTTGTTTTAAAGAGCTTTAAATTTATAATATAGTTTGGTATGCATTTATGTGTGTTGTTTAGCATTGTATGTGCTCCAGACCATTGCAACAAATCTAGACGACACAAAACAACACAAAAACCACAAACTGTAAAAAGGACTAGCTGGTGAAACCGCCAAAATATTAGGTCATTTTCTTTTCTCAATAGTATCTAGAATTTTCAGCCTTAGTCACACATTTTAACACAAGATATCCAAACGGTTTAAAGACATTGTTTAAATAAGGGAATCATGCCGAGCGCCTCATTCATTATGCCTGTAAGGGAAATTTTATGTATCTGGATGAGGCTCCACATCTCCAGCAGCGGGGGTCGTTCTCTGATCCCCAAGTCTTTGGATCATCCCGCCATCATTAGTCTGCCTGACCCCTGTTTTCTGAGAAGAGTACAAATGATGGAAATGAGCTTTCCCGCTCACTTGATTAAACACCCAATTGCTGACGTTCTCTCACTCATGCACACCTGTGTTCTCCTACACCTGTTTCTGAGCTCAAACAGCCCCCAGTCCCGGAGTCTGACCCATGTTCTGCTTTAACACAAAGCAACTCCGTGTCCTGCACCACAAATAAAGTTAATTCCAGCTGCTGCTGCAGTGATCTTTTTCCTCTGCTGCCAGTTAATCAGCATCACTCTCCATGTTTTATGCCTTTCTCCATCTGCTGTTGAGGAAAGGGAGAAGAGGGAGACGTTTGGTACACAGACATGGATCCGACCGTCTGAACCTTTCACCACACTGCATTCATGTTTATTTTAGTCCTGAATCCAAACACAGCTTCATACATTATTCATTCAAAACGAAGGGATAAAATAATTTTATATAGGTGGGGGTGACTAGCTAAAGAACATCCAACTTGACCTTTCATCCTCCCACCATCTTGGCAGTGGAATTTATTTGTCAGCCTTAATTGCAAAGGCTCTCAGACCCCCCAGTGCAGCCCTCTATTGATTGGTGCATCCAGATCAGGGGCCGTTTAATGCAGAAGCACATCCTGTTTCCCGGCTGCGTGATAACCCCTTGCAGGAGATTGAGAACAATTACAAGCACACACTCTAAAACACAGCCCCATTCTCCCAGCGGTGTTAATTGCTCTGATTCTAATTTATGCCAGTTTTCACACCAGCGATAGTAAAGTTTCTTGTTTTCTTGCTCTGAGTTTAATCTGATTGATAATTCAACAATTACGGTGTTGTCTTTGTAAAAGAACATTTAGCTGCATTTTATTTCTGTTTTTGGCAGCAGAACAAAAGAGGCGTTCACTTCTAACGGCACAGAAACCGTTCATATTTAACACGCGTGGCCTTTTTGTTCTTTCGCAGCGGTGTTTACTTTCTTCAGGACATCGCGTCCGGAGGAATTTCATCACAGCTTGTCATTATTCTGCTCACAGCACCCGGCAGCTGGCAAATTCACTTTTCCCCTTTGATAATGTGGAAGATCATTAAGTATTCATGAAACCGCTTCATGTGCGCTCAGCCATGATGCGTGTGCTGATTTTGTAGAGTATGTCTGATTCCACGGCATCATATTCCACACTGTAAATCAATTAGGATGGTTGTGTAATGACTGATTACACACACTGCTTTTTTATCTGTAGCTATAAAAGGAACATCAAATCCCTTTTGGGGAATCATACAGACCAAAGTAAACACGTTAATCCTCCTGAGCCTTTCTTCTCTTTCATCAGATAGCAGAGTTGGCTCTGGGTGCAGTGAGATTTTGACAATGTGTGTGTGTGTGTGTGTGTGTGTGTGTGTGTGTGTGTGTGTGTGTGTGTGTGTGTGTGTGTGTGTGTGTGTGTGTGTGTGTGTGTGTGTGTGTGTGTGTGTGTGTGTGTGTGTGTGTGTGTGTGTGTGTGTGTGTGTGTGTGTGTGTGTGTGTGTGTGTGTGTGTGTGTGTGTGTGTGTGTGTGTGTGTGTGTGTGTGTGTGTGTGTGTGTGTGTGTGTGTGTGTGTGTGTGTGTGTGTGTGTGTGTGTGTGTGTGTGTGTGAGAGACTTTCCTCCATATTGTTACAGATGAGGAATGTCCCCAACACGTAGGTGGGTGGGTAGTTTTTAGGCCTGAAATGACTGACTGGTAGAGAAGGCGAGTCTTTGTAGAGAGGTGGAAGGAATGTCTGATGCAGACATGGATTCCAAGGCTGTTGCTGTGGTAACAGAGGGGACCGGAGGTACTGCTTGCTGTGCATTGGATTTTTTGGGGGTGGGTGGCTTACTTAAGGATTCAGAGCATGAGTGGGAGCGTCTGCCTGCCCTGAGCCCCACCGTTCCCCTTGCATAATCTACTGCAAGAGAAGATCAATGAGGATTTAGTGCTCGATTGTCATCTTCTTTCCCTCTGAAATGCAAGCAAAGGATGCGGGACAATCTGGGAAAAGAGGAGCTTCAAGGACAGCAAAGTGATGCTGAGGAGGAGAAAAGCACACCAACTGTACAAAAACCCATCCTCCGTTGTATTTGTGGATATGACCACCTGCTTACAAACTGCGGTTGATTAATGACTGGCTAGAAAGACACAGTTTTACTTTTTATAATGATTTTTTTTATCCACAAGGCTTGTGGTGATGTTTGGTCAAAAAGCCGCTAAGTGTAATCTGGTACAGGATAATGTTATTTAAAAAGTTTTAAGATTATTGTAAAGGTAATACTTCTTTTTGTAGTCCCCTAATTACTAAGTACTTACGTGGCAAATTACATAGTAAGTTAAAGTGTAATATTGTTTCTGAGTTCTTAAACAATATTTACCATGTAACTCAGGTTCAAATCTAGTTTTTATTTTTATTCATCTTTCCCAGCATATAGTGCTTTACACAATAATTACTCTTTATTACAATTAGACACCTTAATTACACAATAATATAATTTAACTTACTATGCAATAACCATTTAAGTACTCAGTAATTAGGGGACTGTAAAAGGAAGTGTTACCATTGTAAAATATGATTAAATATATAAAAAAAATCCAGGATTTGTTTGTTGGCTTAATGAAACACTCTGAATTAAAAGACATTTTCTTTTTGACCCTCTAAGGTTCTCCGTACTACGACAACGTGAGGCCCCTGTGCTACAGCGACTCAGACGCCGTCTTATTATGTTTCGACATCAGTCGTCCAGACACTGTGGATGGCAGTCTCAAAAAGGTGAAGGACTTTGCACCTTTTCTCCCTTCTAATCTGTAATTCTGCAGTTTACTCTCGTGTTGCCTGTTCTATATTCCTACTTTTGCTGAGAGAACACTGTTTAATTATGCACTCATGTCCACAGTGGAAAACTGAAATCTTGGATTTCTGTCCGAGCACACGGATCCTTTTGATTGGTTGCAAGATTGATCTTCGCACAGACGTCTGCACGCTCATGGAGCTGTCCAATCAGAAACAGACTCCACTCACCTATGAGCAGGTTAGACCCTCAATTGGGTCATAAATTATTTGCTGAAGGAAAACTATTGATGTGAATATATTCTGAAGTCTGTTTAAACGCATTTAATAACATATTAAATCTTCCTTTACATGGACTATAGACTGATTTATTGCTTTTATTGTCTCATTAATATATAAAAATATATCTTCATGAGCGTAGTTTTGGGGGAGTGACGGGGGGACATGCCCCACCCACTTTTTCCAAAGTAAATTTTTGTCCCCTGCAATTTTTACCGTCCAGAAACAATATTAGGCTGTATTAAATAGACAGTGGTTGAGCACTAGGACCAAGCGGAAAATAACCACTTGTGTTGAAGCCTGTTTCCCATTAGAACCGTTCATACGCTCATCTACTAGCTCTGCTGATACTTGCTAACGTCTGACTGGCCATTCCTGCTGTCTCTCAATGTTAAACAGGACGTGCTCTTTTCTGCATGCAGTTCTGCATTCCTGACATTGTATAAAAGAGCCTGTAGGCTGCAGTTTTTTACATTTTTTTGTATAGTTACTGTAGTCCTCTACCCTTATTTCCTGTATTAGTTACCAATAGAAAATAGACGGATTAACGCTTGGATTACAAAAGCCAGTCACACTGAAAACCCATCTTGGCTCATGACGGGGAAGGTTGTTGTTTGTTTAGCATACAGGAAACAGCAGAGAACACCTCGACCAGTAGAAGTTAACTGTTAGCGTTAGCAACTCCACCACACAGCAGACGTCCTCCGGGCTTGTGTTATTTGTGGAGATAAAACATCCACGTTGCAGAGCAAACAGAGTCAGTGGTAGAGTTGATTTGCTCTTAGCCAATCAGAGGTAAGCTGTCAGAATATCAGGAAGTAACACTCCCCAACCAACCGTCTTCTGCTCATCTCTGCTCTGGCTAATTTGTTGTTCCTGAAACAGGAGAGTGAGAGCGTTTCCCCACAGAGATCGACTCACGAGGCATTAATTTATACTAGAGATCACAGCAAATTTGTGGGAATGAGAAGCATCCTAATAATGTTATTCCCACAAAACAAAAGAGGATACCAAATGTGTTTAGATTATAAAATATGTTTTTGTGATGCTGCGAGGTGTTTTTGTCAGATGAAGATAAGTCTCAAGTGAAGGATGTTATAAACAGTACCTCCTGATTTACTGCAGGGTTCTGCCATGGCCAAGCAGCTGGGTGCTGAAGCTTACCTGGAGTGCTCAGCATTCACCTCGGAGAAAAGCATTCACAGTGTGTTTCGCACTGCAGCGATGGCCTGCATCAACAAGCTGCAGCCGCTCCCAAAGCCCAGCCCCACTCGCCGCCTCTCCAAAAGACTCCTCCACCTGCCCAGCAAGTCGGATTTGCTCTCATCCACCTTTAAGAAGGAGAAGGCCAAGAGCTGCTCCGTCATGTGAGGAGGGAGGGGAGGGGACCCGTTGGGTTACAGTCCTCGAACTCCCAACCCCAGCCCTTTTGGTCTCGGGGAAGGGGGGGTGGGCATGATGGTTTTATCAGGGTCACCTGCTGAATCCTTCCCTCACCCCCCCAGAAACCAAACAACCCTCAGGAGAGGTGGACACTTTGCTGTCCACTTGCTCCTGAACCTTTTGGCGCACATCAATCTTTCCCTCCACCGTTGATCATGCTTTTGAACAAAACTCTCTTATTCAAGGTATCTTTTTTGATTTCTCACCTGTAAACACTTTGCAACTAAAACAATGTTACATCCGTCTCTCTATAGGCACATGTTGATTTTGTCCAAGGTGGAAGTGTGCAATGTGTGACGTTTATTCTCGTGGTGTAAAAATGCCTCTCAGACAACTCGATGGATATTTTTTTAAAGTAAACAAATAAAACTAGCATGAAAGAGGCAGGAATTAATACAATCCTGTGTGTCCCTCTAAATGTGGTGTGTGAGATAATCTGGACTGCTTTCCCCGCTTTGAAGGAAGTGCACATGTGTGCAGGGCTATCAGAGACAACCTACAGCGAGAGCTGCAACACGCAGACACGTTCTGTCTCAGAGGTGATGTGAGGAGGAGGAGGAAGGTGTGCAGACAGCAGTCTAGCCTTCATCAATCTGCATGGATTGATCATGTGAGGATGTAATGCTCTGGATGCTCAGATTGAGTGGTTCGAGCAACTATGTGAATAAAAAGAGCAAAAATCAAATTAGCACTAAATGGAAATTATAAAAGTGTCTGCGCTGCCACTGATGAGTCTAAAAAAGTTGCTTTTGTTGTGACCAGCAGAGCTGACGCGTGTTTTATACAGCCGTGGTTAGCATTTAAATCCAGGATGAAGCTTCAGAAGCTGGCCTAAAAGCATCAAATTCACTGGTGATGTGAAAAATCTGATTTATATCAAGAAATATTCATTGGTAAGAATTTGTAGCATGGCATTGTTGCCAGTTTCAACAACTAAACCATGCCGTTCATGTTGTTTTCGGCAGTTGTTATGGTTTTTGAGTATTGTAACATGCCTGTGGAGTTCTCACAATAATCTAATGTAGCAACTCTCTTCTTCCACGTGTTAAATCTATTGACCTCTAATAAGCAGCACTTACTGTAGGCTTTTTTATTTATTTATTTATTTTTGCCTAAATCTTTAGCTTCATGGTCGTGTGTGTGTGTGTGCAGCAGCGAACCCGGGCCATAAAGCAATAATGGTTCTAGCGCTTGTGATGCAAGGTGACTTATGTGGCAATAAAAGACTCTAGCGAGTATCGCCGTGGTGCTAGTGCACCGTGGACAGACGTGCTATTGACTGAGACCATCTCTGGTGCACAAACGGGCCTCTGATCTGTTTGTTAGTGTTTGAGATAACTGGTGAAAGAGAACAAAGCGTGTGGGAAAGGGAACATGAGGCTTTTGCTGCAGTGAAGTTATTATTTTTGAAATAATTAGAGATAAACCTCAAACGCTTAACAACTTTTCATTAAGGGCTAGAGTTAAAAAAAATGATGTGGGGAGAAAAAGTAATCAAAGAGCACAGGCTGGCCCTGTCCAGAGAAAGCTATTTTTCCATTCTTCGTGTGTGTGTGTGTGTGTGTGTGTGTGTGTGTGTGTGTGTGTGTGTGTGTGTGTGTGTGTGTGTGTGTGTGTGTGTGTGTGTGTGTGTGTGTGTGTGTGTGTGTGTGTGTGTGTGTGTGTGTGTGTGTGTGTGTTTTGTGTTTTGTGTTTTTAATGGCATGTTATTTTGGAGATATCTTACTGACATGGCTATTGTGTCTTAACGGAGCTGCGGACTGCCCCCCACCCCCACCCCACCCGTAGATAGAGGAGCTTAAGTTTGCACAAAGGTTTCCAGTTCATGGTAACACTCCAAAATTCCTTGTCATTGCCTAGCAACAGTTCAGTGCAGAAGAGGCAGACGCCGGCTCCCGGGCTGGTTGTGTGCACAGATAGTTTCTGGATGGAGAACATTCTCATTATTTTGGCGTTATTTAAGCATTTATTGCTGAGCTTTATGACAAACATTTGTTTATATTTTGTCGTTGGAGCCGATGTTGAGCCCTCTGATGAGGGGTTGCACGGCGGCGGCTCGGTGAGCGTGTCAGTTAATATGCAGCCTTCGTGTTGTAGTCGGTGTGTGGTGAAATGGTGCAGTCCAACTGCTAAGCATGTGGAACCTGTATGATTGTAAATACTGTCTCTTGTTTTATAGCTAACACGAGACATCCTAAAGGGTCTCACATGGAAATGTTGTTGTTGTTGTTGTTAATATTTATTTAGTAGCTAGCTTCTTAATTTTTTTTGAGTGACATGTATTTGTTTAAATCTATTTTGGAAGAGTTTGGTTTTATGTTTTATTGCTGTGTTAAATAAAGCTTGCCCTGTCTGGCGCTTCACATTCTTTTGCTTGTTTTCTTTTCTCCTGTTTATTGGGTCATCTCTGAAATAGTTGCAGTGAAGACTTTTTACTTTATCCCTGCAGGAAAGGAGCCAGGTGCTCATCTTTTCCCACTCTTATCAGTGATTATGAATCCTGAAACAGACTCTGTGTCATTACATGCAAGAGAAGATTTTTTTCATTAAGGATGAAGAACATTGGATGGAGGATTAGTATCACTTCCCATTACTTCAATCCTGATCTCAGATCATAGCTGCTGTTCAGGGAATTATAATCGCTGACTGCAAATAAAATCTGCAAGTGCCAACTTTTAACTCTATATGAGACACTTTAAAGATTAGATTTTTAAAACTGATATTATGGGTGGACAGTCACTGCTTCTCGCTGTCTTTAGATGCACCACATCTGGTCACAGCAGCTGCAGATGTGCCCACCTCTGGCCCAGTGCCACAAGGATGTTGCTGTGGCACCAGCACATGTGGCCTCATGCTGCTTCGCTCTAATGAGACGATGCATCTGCAAAGAAAACAAAAGTGTCACTGCAACTGATTTCAAATTTAAGAGATTGCTGCTGTAGAGAAAAAAGACAAAGACCACTACAATCATACAAGGAGATATGAAAAACCGTTCAATGAAATTGTTAGATTTAGATATTTTGCAGTTATATCTTCAACTCAAAAAGTTCTGTAAATACCACACATAAACATGTCACGTTGTCTCACACTCAAAACTAGTGTTTAATACCCATTTTATATTTATATTTCACCTGTTTAACCCTAACGCCCCCCTATTGGGGGCCTCTACAGTTCCATGTCCCAAACATCTACAACTGTCCACATTCTCCAAACACAACTAAAACATGATCAAACAGCCCAGATGGGAAAGAATGCCATTTTAAATTGTAATAAATGAAGATACAATGATATTTGAACTTGATTTTGGAAGGGCATCTGACCTTCTCTGGTGTCTGCTGGAAAAAACCCTTGAAAAAATGTAGTTGAGGACCCCTGGAATAAATAAAACAACAGACTAAATTTCCTAAATGGAATTAGAACTCACAGCCTCCATCCTGTCAGCACTTTGACACAGGGCTGCTCTTCTAAAATATGGTTCAAGTATTATTTTATCTGAATGTATAAAAATCCAAAAATTGCTTTGTTTACAATCTAAACCGCTTTGATTGTAGCTGTAGCTGTGCTCGGGGAATGCAAACAATCACTGACACTTGGGACATGAAACTCTAAAGGCCCCCAAGTGGGAGGTGCCAGGGCCCAAAGAAAAAAGGTCTAGGGCCCGTTAAAATGAACGGATCCAGACTGGAACCAATTTAATCCACATCAATATTTCTCCAATGATCTTGTGACGCTGCCATTTTTCTGGAAATCTGATGAATTAAAGTCCAAAAATTGTTGGTTTTCCACCAACTCCTGCATCAGACACATCACTCTGGTGATGCTGATTACTGGCGGTAATCTAGCATTAATAAAGTATTTCTGAATTTATAAAATAAGTGGTGCTTTATCATCTTAGTCGTTTCTGAGAAGGTACTCATGTCCTCGAGATTTTTGTAGAAAACAGCGTTTCAATTATCTTCGCAGACAGAAAGCTGGTTTGTTAGACTCAACCAAAGGGTTGTGGGTGATGAAAACCAATAACGTGAATAAAACACACAGAAACACTCAGTAGAGTTGAACATACATCAGTCAAAATCTCACCATTTCATTCAGGAGGTTCTGCACCATAAATACATGAATTAGATCATTTAAACAGAACATTTAGGTGTTTGATGTTAAATAAAAGTTGCACATCCTGCTGTTATTTCCCTGTTAAAAACATTCCTTCCTCACCAAAGTGATTTATGGGCCATTTGTGTGTTATAGTGGAACACCTGAGGCGGATGCTGACATCATCCAAATACACACTTGTAAAAATGGGCCACAGACGATGCTAGTCGTAGTAAATTAGGCCAACATCTGGGCAGGCACAGAGGGTTCATTTGCCCACTCAGCTGTAGTTGGTACCCTTAGGGCTCGGTGAAAGAGGAGTGGTCCAGTGAACTTTCAGCACCGACCATAACAGAACCTCACGGGTGACAATTCCAACTTCTAAAGTTATTTTTTAAAGATGTGCACTGACATGCATGCAGAAGCTTCAAATCAAAGAAATCTGCAGCAAATAAAGAACAAAACATGTTTGGTTACGAAAGTTTCTATCTAGCTGGATGGATTTGCTGCATAAAACGTTTTGTAGGGAGTTACGTGGCTCAGAGTGGAAAGCCTTCAGTGCTGTTATCTAACATTAGCATCACCGTCTGGGTCCTCAAATTGCTCTCTGCAAGGACACAACAACACATTCCAGATGTAACCTGTCACTTTTTGTTTCCTGTTTGGTGTGTATGCAAATCTGCCATATTGCAAGACAACAACAAAAAAATCTGCAGAAGATTTTAAAGGCAAAAGCTGCATAATAGTAACCATCAACAGCCATCTGGGTCAATTTGTGCTAAAATCTTTGATTACTGATGAGGTGTCAAATCTGATGGTGTGTATGTGTGTTTGCGCGTGAGCACACACTCTGTCTCTCTCCCTCCAGCTTGCTTATAGACATCAGATCATCTGCCTTTGCCGCAGTGCAGGGAAGGGGCCAGAGTATCCAAACCCATCAACTACTCCCAGTTTGGCTCATATTTAAAAGATACAGGAAGTGAACATTTCAGTCCGGCAAACAATAGATTTTCAAAATGCGTAGTCCTTCAGATGTCGACATTCATTCGCTTTTTTAGGTCATGATTCTACTGTTATCTGTTGAACTGGTCACTGCTTTGAGCTCAGACCCTCACAGTGACAAAACTAACTGGTGTCAAGCTTCATACAAAAAAAGCATGTGAAACATAAATTCACATTTACATTTCACATTTAATGAAATACCAACTCATTTTCTGTTCAAAATGAAAGATTATAATGACTCTGGAAAATCCTCAAATGTCATTTTCTGTTCCGCCTTCAGCCTAAAACGTTGCTTCACTCAGCAAATCCCCTTTCAGACTCTTTGTAATCACTCTAATTAATCCTTTCAATATCTGATTCTATCATTCAAATCAAAGTAGAGGTTTTCCCAACACAATTTGAATGATGACAACCCCAAGATGCGGTTTCATTTGGTACTGATTAGCAATAGTAAAGACAAGCCAACCCGAAGCTGTGGATCTAGTATAATAATGAAAATGGGTACATTTTTCATGTTAACTTAGTTGATTGTGTACATTTACATTTGCAGTGCAGAAACAGATTCCAGACTTCCAGCGTCTCTCAGATGGCTGCAGTTACCTCTCAACCCACACAAACTCATTTTGCTCACAGAGATGAAAAAGTTCTCTCTAGTTTAGTGATCACCAACTTCCTTCCCCGAGGGCTGGTATCCAGCATGTTTTTACTGTATTCCCTGCTTCAACACATCTGATTGTAATCAGCAGGTGATTAACAGGCTTCTGTGGGGCCTGATGAGCTGCTGAACAGTGTGCTGGATTAGGGAAATAACTAAAAAAAATGGGTACCGGCCCTGTGCACTGCTTATGCATTGATAGAAAGTTGAGGTACATGTTTGTACTGTCCAATTTATACAGGTGCTGGCCAGTAAATTAGAATATCATCAAAAGGTTGAAAATATTTCAGTAATTCCATTCAAAACGTGAAACTTGTACATTATATTCATGCAATGCACACAGACCAATGTATTTCCGATGTTTATTACGTTTAATTTTGATATTTATAGGTGACAACCAATGAAAACATCAAATCTGGTATCTCAGAAAATTAGAATATTCTAAAGGCCAATGAAAAAATGTTTGTTTCTCTAATGTTGGCCAACTGAAAAGAATGAACATGAAAAGAATGTGCATGTATAGCACTCAATACTTAGTCGGGGCTCCTTTTGCCTCAATAACTGCAGTAATGCGGCGTGGCATGGACTCGATCAGTCTGTGGCACTGCTCAGGTGTTATGAGAGCCCAGGTTGCTCTGATAGTCGTCTTCAGCTCCTCTGCATTGTTGGGTCTAGCGTATTGCATCCTCCGCTTCACAATACCCCATAGATTTTCTATGGGGTTAAGGTCAGGCGAGTTTGCTGGCCAATCAAGGACAGGGATACCATGGTCCTTGAACCAGGTGCTGGTGGTTTTGGCACTGTGTGCAGGTGCCAAGTCCTGTTGAAAGGTGAAGTCTGCATCCCCATAAAGTTGGTCAGCAGCAGGAAGCATGAAGTGCTCTAAAACTTCCTGGTAGACGGCTGCATTGACCCTGGACCTCAGGAAACAGAGTGGGCCAACACCGGCAGATGACATGGCACCCCACACCATCACTGACGGTGGAAACTTTACACTGGACCTCATGCAACGTGGATTCTGTGCTTCTCCGCTCTTCCTCCAGACTCTGGGTCCTTGATTTCCAAAGGAAATGCAGAACTTGCTTTCATCAGAAAACATAACTTTGGACCACTCAGCATCAGTCCAGTCCTTTTTGTCCTTGGCCCAGGCGAGACGCTTCTTGCGCTGTTTCTTGTTCAAGAGTGGCTTGACACACGGAATGCGACACCTGAATCCCATGTCTTTCATGAGTCTCCTCGTGGTGGTTCTTGAAGCGCTGACTCCAGCTGCAGTCCACTCTTTGTGGATCTCCCCCACATTTTTGAATGGGTTTGTCGTCACAATTCTCTGCAGGGTGCGGTTATCCCTAGAGCTTGTACACTTTTTTCTACCACATTTTTTCCGTCCCTTCGCCTGTCTGTTAATGTGCTTGGACACAGAGCTCTGCGAACAGCCAGCTTCTTTAGCAATCACCTTTTGTGTCTTGCCCTCCTTGTGCAAGGTGTCAATGATTGTCTTTTGGACAGCTGTTAAGTCAGAAGTCTTCCCCATGATTGTGGTGCCTTCAAAACAAGACTGAGGGACCTTTTAAAGGCCTTTGCAGGTGTTTTGAGTAAATCAGCTGATTAGAGTGGCAGCA